GAGACTTGCCTGTAGAATGTAGTGTTTCTTATGCTACCAAGTGAGGAAGTAGTGGAAGGCTCATGTAAGCCTTTGTAGACCCCAAATGTACACAGCAACACCGATTTTTTTTTTTTTTTTTTTTTTTTTTGTCTCTTGCTCCCAGAAAACAATCGCTATTTTTCAGCATTTCTCTGCAATGACTGACAGCAGCTGTTTCAGCATGAGACATAGCATAACCTGCAAGCCTACCTGAGAACCAAATATGTTGTCAGGTGGGGAGGCCCTCCTGCTCTCTATGTGGTGGCTGCTCAGGTTTGTACATCCCTACACCTTGCACCTACAGTGGTGACTGCCAGTATGCACTCAGGCATTCATCCAAGCCAGAGCTCCACACTGTCTGGGTAAAAGACTTTCTCTAATGAAATCAGTACATCAGAAGTATTAAAAATAATTAAAAAAAAAAAAAAAAAAAAGCTGGCACTTTTTTTTTTTAAGTGCTTGAAGAATTTGTCATCTGTCTGACTCCTTGGCACTTGTCATTAAGGTAATGTGCACATCTGGTGTTTTGTAGACCTTGGCCGTGTGAGATGCTGATATATTAAGGCACACCTTGAGTTTCAGTCAAAGCAATACATCCTCCTTGCAACAAGGCATGGCTGTGGTTTATGTTTGAAAGCCTCATTAACCAGGCCATAAACCTACTCCCTCTGCAACATTGGGATATCATTCAGGTGCTCAGAAAATAAGTAGAAATTACACTGGTAAAAATTACCATTTCAGCCCTAACACAGATGTTAAACTACCACAGATAGGTAGCTAATGCTGGGCCTCACTCTGTGCAGATGAAATAGTGAGGCCTTTTTACTGAATTTATTCAAGTACTGACTTTATTCAAAGTTTTTATCCCTGTATGCCAAACTGCCTCTTGGCGTGGATGTCTTTGATACAAATTATGGAACCTTCAAGTATAGGACTTTAAAATGGAAATGTCGGCACAGCCTTAATAATAGCTCTCTAATTCTACAGAGGGAGCTGGGAAAATTTGTCTGGTTTGATTAGGCTCAGCAGCATCCTGCATTTGGAATAGGACAACCCTGGTGTACTGTAATGACTGGGCAATGTACAGAGCCCAACCACTTTGTGTGCTGCTTGGGCTTCAAAATGTGAAGCATCATAAAAACGCAAAGCTTCTCTACCTATTGCCTGACCCAGCAGCCTTAGAAATCAGCGATCACTTTATAGAAACAACAGATTTAAGTTGTGGATGTTGGCTACTCATCCAGTACTGTGCCAGAGAAGTCTCTTTCATACTACATGGGAATTCTGCCTGCTATGCATAGCATCTTGGTTAGAGTTTATGGTCACCCATTTGTTTAAAAATAAACAAAAAGCATAGCTGGTTGGTCACGTCCTGCTGCTCCTTCCTGCTGTTCTACTGAGATCTGTTTACCCCATTTCAGTTTTATAATACAGGACCAGGGATGTGGTGGAGACATTGTCCCTGGAGATGTTCAAGAGACATTTAGGTGTTGTACTAAGGGACGTGGTTTAGTGGAGAAATATTGGTAGTAGGTGAACAGCTGGACTAGAGGATCTTGGAAGTCTATTCCAACCTTGGTAATTCTATGATTCTGTGATTAGGCCTTTGGCTAAAGCAGGAAGCACTGTCTTCTGCTGCTGGTTTGGGGTTCTGCAATGCATGGGATCCCTTAGTATTCAGTGTCCAGAGGAGTCCATGAGAGAAGAAAACCAACCACTGGAAAACAAGACTTCAGATACTTTGTCTTTAAAATACTATGAAGTTTTGTGTTTTTATTTTTGTTTTTTTTTTTTTAGGCTTTTATTTGGCAAAGACACCCAGGCACATCCTTGATTTCAGGAGCAGCTTCATTGACTTCACTTGGATTCTTGAGATTGTTACACTGATGACCAAGTCCTTTCCTGAATCTCCAGCAGGGATCCCCTGCAGAAGGCTGTGGAGCCAGTGTTAAGGTGCATTTTTCAAGGTGCACATGTCCCAGTGTTCAGCTGCATGTTTGCCTACATCTTAATGATGTAATGGTCTGCAGTGCAGTATGGAAATCAGGTGCAGGGTGCTGCATTGCCATCGTCTGTGTTGCACTCCAGAATGGAGAGTACTTAGACAGAGAGAGTGCTAAAGCAGTAATTCTGGTGATTTGTTTTGTTTTATTGGCTTTTTTTTTCAAGCAAGAATTCTTCACAGAGGAAAAAGAGAGTGGTGCATCATGTTTTTCAAGTCACTGGGCTTCTTGGCAGGCTGGATGATAAATCACTAGAAGTAGGAGTCACGAGAGCTAATTATTGCCAGACACTTCTGTTCTCTGCCTCCAGCAGCAGGGCTAGCACAGGCAGAGACTTCTACTTTCTGAATAGTAGAGAGAAACAGTGAAGAGTTGAATGAAAAAAAAAGATGAAAAAAATTATCCTGAAAATTATTTCCATCTCCTCTGGATTCATGTGGGATGAGTGCATTATGTCTAAGGAGCATTGGGTACTGTACATATCCTGCACAGCAGTCTGCTCCTGAGCAATAGGTGGAGCATGAGAACACACTGAAGGTGTGATATAGGCACCAAATAACCTTATACCTAAACATCTTTAGGAGCCATCAGGCTTTCCATAGGTTTGATTGACACATTCAGCAACTTCATGGGATTCCTAACTGTGTACTTTTTTTTACAGCACATGCTTGCATTTAGCTGTGTCTTTCTACATGTCTGCCACATTAAGTATGCACGCATTTCTGCCTCGGACAGCCTTGCTATTGTACAAAATTGTATACAATTGCACAGCAAATGCTGAATGACTTTCAGTTTGAAGAACAAGGTCTAAGAGGCAGATGAAACAGACAGGAAAGGGGAAGAGGAGTCATGTTATAAAAGTCAGCAGCTGAATGATTGTTTGAAAATTGTCCTTTGTTGTGCCTTCCAGGATTACAAGGGTACAGTGCAGTTCTTCTCACAGCTTTGATGGAAAACACTTGGCATTATCCCTTAAAGTTTAATTATAGCTCTTTAATGCTGTAGGAGGTTGCTAGGCATCAATGTGCTGTCCTTAGAATGCACTCATGCAGTGGCTCACCTCAAGACTGGGTGGTGCCTCACCCTCAAGTCTGCATGGGGCTCTGGTACCTGGCTGTGGGGCTGGCACAGGGCAGCTGGGAAGTCAGAGTTTGGTGAGTTTTCTCCATTGCATTTTGTGGGTCTGTTTCTGTACAGGCTCCCGTATTAAATCTAAATTCATCAGCAAAGACATGATGAACATTAGCTACACTGTCCAAGTACTAAATCCAAACGTTAGGCATAAACAATGCAGGTGTGTGAACCTGAGCAGATATTTTTACTGTAAAAAACTATTGTTGCTAAATAACTAACAAGTTTTGCAAGGAAAACCTAATTATAAAGAATCTTCCATCTCCCACGCTAATTGAATGAGCAGAATTCTTCTGTACTACTTTGCAGACATCATGTCATTGAATTATTGGATTAACACTGGGTTGCTGTTTTACCTTTGCCCCACTCAGCAGAAGACTGTTGAGTCTTTTGAACTGGAAAGCCTTGATTATCTTTTTCCCTTTCAATAGAACTGTGCTCATTCAGAACCCTGGGTTTAATGATATTTTGTCTGAACTCCTGCATTTTCTTTGTTGATAAAGAATCTGCCAGTAGAAAGTGAATAGGACTGAGAAACAGCCTTCTTTTTAACAAGTATTCATTAATTCTTAATTAAAACAGAAGAGAGGGGTTTGTAAATTCTATTTACATGGTAGATCAACAGGATCTTTCATCTGCTTCTAAGGGCTCATCTCTGGGCTGAAAAGATCAAGCAACAACAGGTAAAGTGGTCAGGCTTTAAATGAGAATATATATGTAAAAGCTAGTTGGCTTTTGACGTTTTATTAGCTGTTATGGCATCTACTCAAAATAGGATTTTTAAAACTGCAGTTGATTCGCTGCAATAACACTATGGCATTCCATTTCTTTGAATGTCAGATTGGAGATGATTTTTGTTTCTGGGATTCTCACAGTTGAAAGATTTTTAAGCCAAGTCTTCCAAACAATGTTATTACTTTAGGCCATGGTGGTATCTCATAAGACTTGGAAACCACATGGTGTCTGTACTGTCCTGTGTTTCTTTCTTAAGCTAACAGCATCTGAAATAGAAATCCTACTGAAAACATGGTGTTCTATTTGATGATTACTACTGGCATTAAAGCAACAGTTCTGGTGAGACACAAGTATGAACCATGTAGTACACACTCCTCTTTTTCCTAGCAACTGAACAATTTCATGAAAAAAAAAAGATTCTTTTTATTCAAAAAAATGTATAGGATTGTCAGCGTTAAATCACTTTAATCACGTTAATGTTGATCTTCCCTTCAATGCTGATAGCAGTTGCAGTGAATATAGAAGGAAGATAAAAATATTATTGATTACTATATGCATGATAGAGACAAGAACTTCTGTTCTCAGAGCAGCGGCCTTCACTATGCCATGCAGCTCCCTCTGAAGGGAGCAGAAGCTTTCCATTGACTTTATGAGCCCATGGGAATAACTGAAGGCATGAACTGCTTGGCTGAGCAGGTTCACAGAGCATAGATAGCTCAAGGGCTGAAAAACGTACATCTGTCAAGCTTCTCACACTGTGTAAGACACTTTGCTATGTGGTAGCACTTCTCTTTGGGATCATCTCTGTCACGTGAGCAAATGCCCCAGAGGCCAGGAAGCAGCCCTGTGTGCGTGTGTCCTTGTCATCTACTGTGGAGTGAGTGCCAATTATCACAAAGTCATATCAAAAAGCATACAGCTGCTGTCTGCTTTATTTCTAATTGACTTCATTCTTCTCCTGCTGAAACTCTCAGCAGCTTTGCCAGCAATTTCAGCTGGTAAGGCTGATGCCTTAAAACCAAAACAAACGCTTGCACCTGCTGATTGCAACAGGGGCATTTATTTCTGATGACCTCATGGTAGTTCCCCTAAAAACTGTGGTGAACTACAGCTGCATCACAACAAAGAGATCTCTTCAAATTTAAATCTGAACGTGTCCTTTCAGGCTTTCTTTTGGAAGATGGTGTGTTTGCCTCAGGTGTGCACCTACAGAAGGAAATCTGGCATTGACTGAGTTGGTTCGAGTAAAGCAGGCTCGGGCTTTGAAGTGGTGGAGATGTTAAGTCAAAAAAGAGAAGAAAGCTGACAAAACATCTATTTTCGATCAGGGTTCTTCACTGAAGAACAGATGGACCAAACGTTTCTATTGAGAAATGACTGCAAAGTTGACTTCTTTTGGAGCTCAGCTGTAGCCCTCGTTTTCTGTTTTGCTTCTGGCCATTTCAGGAAAGCACTTGTCCTTGTGAGGAAGAGATATTTTCCTTGTCCCTACCTTATTTTGTGTCACAAGGGTGAATGTAGTTTGTGATGGAAATCCTTGCACTATTCCTTTTGCAAGATGTCACTGCACTATTTTTTTTTACCTGATCATGCATTTCCATGTTCCATTTCTAGTTCAGAGACCGAAGTACACAAGCTCATAACAGGGTGGTGGAAGAAAGGAAAAACATGTGTCCTGCTGTCTGATCTTGGTTCTTCGTGGTACTACTGGATTCATTAATTTCCTTTTCAAGCATTGTATTTTGTACTACAAACTTCTACCAATTTTTCAGTTTCTACCAGACTGCAGGAGGATTTCAGAGGGATTTGAAATTACTCAGTCACTGCTTCAAATGAGTGTTGAGCTGGTCAAACATTTCCAGAGGTGAATCTTTTGCATTTCAAGGACTTTTTTCCATTGTTCATGCATCTTCTAGCCTCTTATTCTCATTATGAAGCTTATTTGCAAAGCCTTGCTGGCTGGACACCAGAGGGACCTCAGACTGCCGTGCAGGTGACAAAGGCATGGGTTGCTGTTCCAAAAATGTGAGTTTTTTCCTCCAGCGGTGCTGCCATTGCTACAGAGCTGACTGCATTTCAGCCAATCACAAGTAGTGATTCTTGTATAGTTTCTCTCACCTGTTGCATGCTGTCAGTGCACTCCTTGCAGTCGTACAATGCATCACTAGTAGGGATGCTGGCATCTCCACTTACAGCACCAAATACTGATCTGGTCTGTGTCTGCAGACCCTCAGTGGTATCGCTCAGCTCTGTGCACGACTGCAAAGCACTGTCATCCATAAACACATCAGATCACTGTTAGTCTCGTTCATTAAGCAATTAACGACCTGTAGAAGATGATCATTCAGGGATTTTAGCCCTCCTGACACTGGTGTCTGGTTGACGACACCAACAGATGCTGTTTATAGTCGAGTTGATAATCTCTCTCTTTCCAGCTCGTTATTATTATCATCCAAATGATAATCTTTTTGCTTCTGTGACCCAAACAGAATCCCCCCCGCCACCGTTTTAGCAGCTAACATCTACAATGGGGGCAACTGATCCAGCGTGGGAGTTAAATATAACCGTGCCTAGTGTAAGGAGAAGAGTGAATGGGAAATGGTTGGCATTCCTTCTTCCTGAAGGCACGGCGAGAGAGGGAGCGGGCGAGAGCCGTGCACACACGCAGCCACACAGCCGCACAGACGCGCGGCCGGCGAGGAAGAGGAAGCGAGCAGGAGGCAGAGCGGAGCCCGCAGCTCGCCGTGCCCGCGGCTGGCAGCAGCATGCCCACCCTCCGCATGGCCACCTGGGGACTGTACCTGCAGCTTCTCTCCTGCTGGGCTTTCTCTCACAGCCCCTACGCTGACAATGCCTTCTCACTCTCAGCAGGTAAATCGCTTTTAGTCTCTTTGCTTTGCCTCCCTCGGACCTGCACACTGCTTCTTGCACTTCCCAGCAAGTGAGAGCATAGGAGTGACAAATTCCCTTGCAGATCCGGGACGTATTTCTTGCTTGGTGGCTTTTGCTTTATTACTTCTGGTTTCATGCCCTTCCCAGTGAGAAATAACAGAGAGGAGCCCCAGCCACATTAAAATGCTTTTTCTCTGACTGGTTTGGTGCTGCACTAATGCGTGCTGCCAGAGGACCTGGCCCAATTAATGTATTACTTGCACGTCTGCCTGTTTCTTTCTATTTTGGATGATCCTAGGTGGATTACAGCAAGGGAAAAAAAATGAATCTCAATGTATATCTGCTTCTATAAATAAAGCCCTGACCTCAATGAGTGCTGCTGGAGCTCGACTGGATGTTAGCAGAATAAACATCATCTGGCTCTGGCTATGACACTAACAAATATTCGGATGGCTCACATAGCAAACAAGAGTCCACTGCATGGAAAATCCCTGCTAGGCAAAGGCAAAGCAAATTACTTGCCAGCTGAGCCAGAGCACTGCAAATCCCACTTAGCAGGTTTTACAGTGCGGGCAGCAAGACTCCCCTCTACCCACGTTCTGTGCAAAGGAAGGAGAAGGGGAACGAGAACTCCAACCCCATCTCTGGTTGGACGAACTCTCATCATGTTGTGGTAGAGTATTTATAGCTGAAAGATGCCTCTAGCTAGAATCCTAGATTTCTTTTGCATCAGATTTGGGATGGTTCAGGTGAGACGTGTAGGGAGGCATCAGTTTTGCCTTCAGATCCTCCCAGTGTTTCTGACATTAAGACAGCCTCCAAAAGGGTGCACATTTCAAAACTGTACGTAAAATCAACTTCAGACATAGAGTTAAAGGTGCACGATCTTTCTCTCTCCATCTCTCTCATGTTTCTGTGTTATCACAGCCAAGCCTATGGTTTATTCTCAAGGCATTTGTGGCACTGAGGGACATGGTTAGTGGGCATGGTGAGGATGGGTTGGTGGGTGGACTGGGTGATCTTAGTGGTCTGTTCCAACCTTGATGATTCTATGATTCTGACAGAGAATAATGATCAGGAGGACAGCCTGTGCAGGACAACAGATTTCTGGACTAAACTGCAGTAGTGAGACAAGTGATTTCACCTATGTTTGTTTGTTTGCTTGTTTGTTTAAGCAAAGCTTTTGAAATACATGGAACTAATACACTGTATTTAACCCCCCTTGGTTTGAACAGATCATTCATTTAGAAATATTTGAATAATAAGATTTTGTGGGCCAAAGGGTTGTGCAGTCGTCATCTGGGGAAAAGTCCCATAGCATTTAATAACATAGCCATTAGATTTCCGCAGTCATTTCAGATAGCTTTTAAGATAGCATTTAGGGAAGCCTAATGCTTGAAAAAAGGCATCCCTTAAAAAACAAATAAATCCATCTGTCAAACCTCTAGAAACTGGTATGTTTTTCTGCTGAGTTCTCTGCAACGCTAAAAAGCATTTTCATTTATTATCATCTCTATTATATTGGGTAGGATTTCTCCAAAAAGTTCATATTAATTAATGCTGAGGTACAGAAACCATCAAAACTTATTTTCTCTGATGAGAAATGGCCTTGCAATAACATGTAAGTTGTTTTGATGTTCTTTACATCAACATGTAAGTTGTTTTGATGGGCTTTACCTTGCCTTGAAGCTAGTAGATCCCAGCCAGACAAACACAAGGTTCATCTCTGTAATGCTCACATGGCCTGGTGTTGCCTATGCAGTGATTTTTCTCCTGTGGAATATACTTCAGTGCCCAGAGATGACATATAAATTGTTATCATTAAAACAAAACAAAACAAAAAAAACAGCCTACGGGATAGGTCCTTCCGAGGGGGAAAGTTCATATATCTTGTGGCAATGTAGTGGAAGAGGAAACAGGGAGTAGAAGGGAAATGCACAGCCTGAGGTTGTCAGCACCGGTTCTTTGGGGAAAAAAAGTTCATCAGCAACTTTATAGTTCATCAGCAACTCAGCTGTGTAGCAGGGAGATACAAAAACTCTTTGAGTCCTTAAATCTGCACCAGTCAAGACAGAATAACGATAATTGCAGATAAGGAGTAGTATTTTAGAGCAGTAGTGCCACATGTAAAGGTGTAACTCTCAGGGTGGCATAGTGTCAGAGTGTGTGCTTGGGGCTGACAGGCTTGTTTTCTGGCCAAATATCTTTCAGGCAGCAGTAGTTTATGATATGGGCAACCCTTGATATGAGCTGCTGCAGGGCTCTGCTCCTCACAGCCTGCTAACTTCTCTAGTTGGTTCTCTATTTTCTAGTAGAAATCTCACAGTGTGTAAGAAGGTGAATTAATTCCATTTAAATTCTCAGTGATTTTAATGATTTTTCAAATAGTCTGTGACTGTCAGCTGATTTAGTTATTTGAATCTGGCACCAGGATGTAATTTTGCATTTAAAGAATAGATTTCAGCACTATATTGCAAACTCTAAAACAAACCGCAATCAACAGCAAAGATGTTCTTCAGCAATGTTTTGTCTTTCCTACAATTGGAAGATTAATGAGAAGTATTTTCCAAATGTTTCTGAAAACTTCTGGGCTGAAACTACTTCCTCACACATCTTTCTATAGCATTAAGTCACAAATATAAGTGTTCACATAGCACAAGCTGCTAACTGTAAAGCCGAGATAAACAACTGGTAGGGAGAAGCACATATGTAGAATAATTAGGCAAAGAATAACAATCTGCATCATTTTCTGTTTTGCTGCCAACTCCATGTTATAGTCCCATCAGACTCAAGCAATAGCACATCGTTGCTCCTAGAAGTATTTTGAATGCAATGTCAGCACCAAACAGTGATTCTCCTGGTGCTGAAGCATCATCTCAAGGAAAGTGCTGTAGGGATTAATAGTACATTATAACACACTTAAGCATGTGGCTGTGGTGAAGAGAAGGCTCCAGAGAGACGTGAGAGAAGCCCCTCAGTATCTAAAGGGGGTCTGTAAGAAAGAAGAGGACGAGACAAGGGGATATGGCTTCAAACTAAAGGAGTGGAGCTTTAGATTGAATAGAAGGAAGAACTTTCTTACCGTGAGGATGGTGAGGCACTGGAACAGGTTGCACATAGGATTGGTAGAAGCCCCATTCCTGGAGATGTTCAAGGTCAGGCTGGATGGGGCACTGCGCAAATACAGTTGGACTAGATGACCTTCAGAAGTTCCTTCCAACTCAAACAGTTCTATGATTCTCTGTTATCCTCTCCTTCCTCTTCCCCTTTTCTGCTCCTCTATGCTGCAGGTTTCTTGGGCTCTGCATGGAGACAGAAAGTATTTGATATACCTCTAGGAGCTGGAGAATAGCAGTATCTGTGCTTTTTCTGACCCAAACTTCCTTTTATGTATCATACAAATGTATCAATTGATTGATTTTTTTCGTGAGATCAATATTCAACGCAAAGCCTTATGAAAAAAGTATGGTTGATTAATTTAAACAAATGCAACGGGACTGAATGTTACTGGCAGTGTTCCTAACACCTTCTCTGCCTTTGTCTCTGCTTTCCCAAAAGAAGGGAACTCTGGGCTCCACAGGGCACAACCTATTTGAATCTGAATTACTGACTGAAAATGCACAAATTGTAAAAAAAATAAAATAACAAAATTGGCTAAAATGCAAATAGAAAGGGCTCAGCTATTTGCTGCTTAGGATGAGTATCATGAACCTTCACTTACTGCAGGAAATGCAGATGATCAGGTCAAAGGAGCAGGTGTTCCTATTTCACCCTGGTTTAATATAAAGGTCAGCACAGCTGGCTTCTAGTGGTAAGCTGATAAGCATCCTGAAATACCAAACCGGGACTCCCAAAGTACTGGCAGATGGGACAAGCTGGAGGCCAGTTCCATTTTATTTCTGTGGGACATGCCTTGTGTTACAAGTGAAGCAGGTGTCTGGCTTCAGGCTACAGAAGTTCCCCTGGAGAGGGCACCTCAGACTTGTTTGGGGTGAACAAGTTCTGCCACCTGAGGCAGATGTGAGCACAGGAATTGGCATGGTGCTGTTTTGGCTGGCAGTGCTGGGCACACAGGGCAGCATGGAAACCATAGGGGTGAGATGTGCACAAAGAAAGAAAATATACAGTGTACTGGCTAAAATGGAAAGTGTTGAATGTTTTATAGATCATGGCAATTTTTAGCATGGAGGCTTTGCTAACCTATTTCATGCTGTAGCATAGTAGGTAGAAGGAAATGGGAAAAGCCCTTTCAGCCCTCAAGGGGAAGTCTTTGAGAAGGATCTAGAATAGGAGAGGGAGCAAAAGCCAATAGGAATTCACAGAAACTATCCTAAATGTGCTTCTTCCCTTCTCTTCTCCAAGGAATCATTCTTTAATGAGAAGGGTATCAGAGGAATGCTCTTTGTTTGCAGACAACTATAGTGGGAATAGAGCATTTGGAATAGAAGATGGATGTAGGGAAAGGTGAGTATAGGAAGAGTGCAAAAGAGTTCTGTCAGAGTGGGTGGAAAGAGAAAAGCAGCTGTTACTCGTTTTTTGCTAGTATATATGTATCCAGGCTTGCATGCAAATATATGGAGATGCTTCACTTAAAGAAGGTAGGGCTGCAGTTTCAGTTTTCTTGTGCCTATGGAAAAGTATCAGTGGACTCTTTTAGTCTCTCCAACCTACAAAGCCATGATTTTTTACAACACCAAGTCAATCAGAGCTATTTCTTTGTGAAAGGCCAGGGAATAAAGTCAGCTGGGCTGTGATTCTGTTGCTGTGAGGCAGTCACAAGGAATTAATGTAGTCCATGGCATCAAAGTTTCTAACAGGAATTTGAAAGCATTTCTCTGGTACCTTTCAGAGTGAACAGCAACATCCATGTCCCCCTACGGATTGTCTGGGACTGTCTGAACACACAATGGACCAACACCAAAGTCAAGCACACTTCTGATCCATGCCAGCCCTGCAGTCTTGCAGTTGGAGAGGGATGGCACTGTTGTCTGCTCTGGTGCTACTGATCTCACAGATAAAGTGGGAGAGGAATGTGTGACAGTGAATAGCAGGCAGAAGTCTGACACAGCAGCCATCTTGCATGAAGACTTAAGGCTTCAGGCTCTTCTAGGGGTGGTACTAAGCTCTTTAATACTCAATTTATTTGTAACATCATTATAGTATGGCAAGAAATTGAGTTTTATAATTGATTCATAACATTATTGGGATGAAGTATTGCAATTGACAGGACTGAAACTCTCATTCCCGTTCTGTTATCAAGTCATCCATGATTGTGGGGGTGTTGCTTGACTTTTCTGTGCCTCAACTTCTCATGCATGGAGAAAAAGCATATAGAGCTGCCAGCATTCATGAGCTGTGTCTAGAGCCCTGGACCTCAGCAACTGGAAGCCAATAGAAGCAAACCCAAACTGTCTGAGTGAATACTGACTAGGCAGCATGCCAGGGTCCATGCTATCTGCAAGAGTTTTTGAGCGCCAGCTCATTTTAAACATTTCTGTGTATTTATTTATTATGACAGCTTCAGTCTATATGGCAGATGGTGAAATGCGTGTAAATTCTGCCACAACTGGTAGCCACCCTGGGGATTAGGATTTCTGACACATTATTTTCATATTTCTATCCGTTGCTGGAGTATTTATTGTTTCATCAAAGGGGATGGGGAGATAGCTCCATCTTGTAGCTCCTGCAGCGCAGATATCAGTGCATAAGCTGTAGATTTGCTGCATTTCATTGCTATATTTACATCACCTGATACATAGAAAAGGGTATATTTAGGCCATAAGGCTTGTGTTCATGAGGACAGAGAGATGTACCCTGTTCCTGAGCTCAGCTATCTGACCCAGCTCCAGACATGAGCTCATGTCTGGAGCACCCCAGCTCTACCTGCCCACCTTTACCCGCGCCTCCTCATGTGACTCCCTGCCCCGGGAACGAGCACTTTGGCAGCTCTTAATGTTTTCTGATTTCAAAGGGAAGAAATGGTCACCTTGAGTAGATACACAGGGTAACACCTGACAGCCGCTGCCTGTGGCGAGCTGCCATTTTTGCAAGGCAGTTGAGAGGAGCCTGAATGAACAGAGGGAAAACAGATAATCTCTCAGTTTCAGCCGGACAAGCCCACATTCATTAACTAACTCATCTGCCTAGCTTGATTATTATTAATTCTGACCACCATCCAAGTGGGGAAGCACTTGGGGGTGGGTGTCAGTGGCCAGAGGTGTCTGGTGGGCTGGCCATGCCAGCCAGTGAACAGGCAGGCCACTGTGCAGCTACTGGGGACACGGCTTTGGAGAGCAGCTTGACTTATGGTCAGGGTTTGTGAGATGAATGTGGCTGCAAATAGGGAGGGAAACACATGTTAAATATTTTTTTCATGCCATGCCCTTTTGTCCTGCCATTGTCCTTGATCCAGCTAGCCTACACCTTCGTGTTTGCAGCGCAGAGGTCACTTTCCCAGTTTACTTACTATTTATTGCAATGGAATCCTGTAAATCTATGCTGTACCTGGTGCAGCACTTCTGTTACCTTTGTAGTAGCCACAGGGGTTCGCAATGTTAGGTTAGCTCTAGGATCAGATCTAGGAGGGCTCAGGACCCTTGTATGGGCCCTGCTCTGGATGGCCCAGGCAGTGCCCATCTCTTCTCCGGCTCTGCTTTAGACTATCTCACATCACAGCTTTTGACTTCTAGCCAGCACCAGAAGTAAGAAGTCTGCAGCAATGCAGTGAAACAATGCAACAGCCTATCTAAAATACCTTATTTCTTGAAGTAACCACTATTCCTATACCTATAAATTGAGGTAGTCACTTTCTTGAATACTTTTTGAACAGTAAAAATAATTTCAGTTTGAAAATGTTTAACACTTTCTGATTATTTTAATTGTTATGCTCTCTGAAGCCAACTGCCATTTAGATGAGTTCAATAAGGAGTTTTTCATTTTGTCTTCCTTCTCTTACTGAATACTTTCTTTGGTATCAAAGATGTTGGAAGGGCAGTTTCCATACAAGATGTGTAAACAAACTCCCTGTGTAGGCAGGGCCTTTGCATTTCACAGAAAACTGACAGCCCTATTCTTGGGCTGAGATTTTTTCCACTGATGGGGACTAGAGTGTTATGAAGCTGTATTTAGCAAACAAAGCTGACCTGGAGCCTAACAATATAAATTGCATTTGCTTACAGCCAGCTAGCCTAACAAGGAAATCAGTGGCTATTTTGCTGCCAACTTTGTTAGCTCTAATGGTTTTCATAATAAAAATGTTTCAAAGAACTTCAAACTTAGATTCCAAGAAAAGGAATATCCCAATATTTTATAACCCAGAACTTGACTTTACTCATGAGGACATGGTAAGTATCCAGTTAAAACTGTAGATGCACACTTACAGTTAATCTTATCCTTGCAAAATATTTGAGGTACAAAATATTTAATTTCCTGATTTCTTTTTTTAATATTGTTTTTATTTTATAAGTAGTATTACAACTGCAGCAATGCAAACCTTCTTCTGCAGTGATTGCTAGCAATCTCTTAGCCATCAAGCCATGTCAGACCATCTCTGATATTCTTATTCATGTTGAATGACAATAAACTTACTGAAATTGATCTAGAATAATGCATTACTAAGAAACAGCATATTGTTCTGTAGCCTAAGATAATATCATAATCAAACTGTATGTCTTTTTAGATTACAAGCTGCACGTAACAATATGCATTTTTTTAACAATATGCATTTTAGTCCCAATGCAACATGTTCAAATACAGTCCTGGGATTAAGAAAACCCCAGATGTAGGCTTAAAATTCAAGACCTTTGTTACAGCTGTTTAACAGTAATTGAAGTCAGGGTCAGGCTGTATTGTTTATCTCTGTATTTTATTGTGTGCATGAACTGAAGCTTTTTGTTGAGTTCAAACTTTGGAGGAAAAGTTGAGGAGAGAAGTCTTTATTGTGGACCCTTTGTCTCACCTCTCAAAGATATCACCTCAAATAGTTTTGTTAGAGAAAAAAGCCTGCATAGCATAAGTCACTTCTGAAGACTGGTGCCAGTAGCAATCTGTGGTGATTTTTTTTTTTGAGAAAGGAAAGCAATAGAACTTTGTGATAAATATTCTTGTTAAGAAAGGTAACTGAAATGAAGTTTATGAAATGCGTTCCCTTGAACCCTGTCTCTACAGGCAAGATCTGATTTAACCCGGCTGGAACCAGCTGCAACTGGCCTCTGTGTACAAGTGGCTACATGCCTGAGGTGACCCCTGCCATCGCCAGTGGGTCTGTCACTGACACCCATGGAGCTGAGAGAGCACCTGAGCTGCTGCTTGGGCAGCCACTCTGAGGTCTTAACAACCACACTCATCTGGACAGCTGCTTTCTGTGCACCAGGACTGGGGAAATGCTGTCCCCATGAATGTGGGCTAGTGAAACATGATGTAATACATCTTCTGAGACATTTGAAAACCTGCACTTATTTCTGCCCCTTAGAGAAATCTGTCTTACCCTAAGATGTGACAAAAGCAGGCCTGCAACCGATTTGCACACAAATGTAGCAATTTTGCCAAGTTTATCTTCCTATAAACTTAATTTGGGGATTTTCAATTAATACCAGATACTTCACCATAGGCTTTTCTTCCTACAGTATCTGGCTCCCTGCCACCCCTCATTTCACAGACACCCGTTCTGGCTGCCAGTGTTCAGAGTAAAAGCCAACAGACACAAATAAATATTTACTGCATTTGATGGGAACAGGAAGATGCTGCTTCTAATAGACTTTTAGAACAACAAGAGAGTGAGAGAGAGAAATAGGCCTATTTCATTGCCGTGATAAGTGTTTGGGACTCAGCATAGCCTTCAGAATATGAGGGACATTGTATATTTGGGGGACTGCATGGAATCTGAAATTTTGGCTTAGATGCTTCAGTGGACACAGGATGTAGAAAAGTGGTGTGGAATGGAAGCTCACCTTATTCTGTGAGAAATACTTGTGGTGTTCAAGACAATGGATGCGTGTTTGTGTTGAACAGATCTCCCTTGCTTGGAACAGAAGCAGCAGCCTCCCCACAGAGCGTGCTGCTTCCTCATCCCGCCGCCGCCGCCCATGTTCCCGCCACCGCGCCTCAGGCACGACTGGAGCTCTGTAAGTGTGGCCGAGGGGCCTTCCTCTTCTTCTACATGAGTTTCCATGTTTGACAAACACTGACACGTCCTTTCTGAACACTTCTTCATGGTGTCACTCAGCAAACACCTCTGGCTGTGACAGCTACAGATCTGGCTACAGATGTCTTATTTTGCATCATTTTTGCCTTTGTTACCTAAAGGTCCCAAAATCCTTCTGTGGAATCTGTTCCCACCATTATGCAAAAATGAAGGGTGTGTTTGAGTAGCTGGTATGGATTTTTCACTCACACATGTATGGATATTCCTGCTTTATATGGTATGTATCCATCCATACACGTTAACATAAGTAGCACATGGTATACAGTGGGTATATGGTACAGCAGTTTGACCACATGCACTTATTGCCAGGACCTGTTACCTCCAATATGTTTGCCATCCCAACATAATGAATTTTTCCACCTACTAGTAAATCCTGTTTCTTAATTCTACTCTTCATTTACCATATCCAAATATAGCAATTATCACAAGCACTATATACATATAGTGATCAGAAAAATTTCTGATGAGAACTAATTCAAGGAAAAATACAGCATAAAATCCCCTGTTGCTTTCAAAGATAATGGGATTGAGCTCAGTGTATTATTTCCCCAACCCAAAACCTTTTCTCATCCCTTGCCTAACCCTCTCCTGCCTGTGCCATGGTTTCCTCGGAAGAAGACTCAGAGAAAAGATCCCCTTCGGAAACATGGTGTATTGCTTCAGGCCCCTCAGTGAGAATGAGTTTGGGACCACAACCAAATATTCCAGAAAGTAATCTGAATATAAAATTACTCCTGGCACCATCTCCCCGTAAATTAAAAAAAAAAAAATTAAATTAAGTGGTTACTAGGAAAGTGGGAGCTGTGTGATTTCTCATTGAGGACTCTGTACTTTGAAGTTTATGGTTGGAATTTTTCTGGAAAATGGCTTTTCACCTGGTTGATGTAGAGCAACTTTATTAACCCGGTGTTTCTGCCTCAGTGCTTGCTTTTATTTCTAGGGGAGATAGGTATCTTTTCTGGTAGGACATAAGCATACCAGTTTGCTCATGCAAGCCCAATTTTAAAGTCAAATTATTAGAGATCTATTGGTTTTCAAGGGAACTGCCTCTGGTTGGCAGTGAATGAGTGCCTGGTTGATATCTACTGGAACGAAGTTCACACTGCCCATATCCCTTCTGAGTGCAGCCTGTATTATTAGAGCAAAGCTGCTATTTTTGGAGAGGAGTTGCCACTTGTGAAGCGTGATGGAGGGAGCAGAGTCAAGGCTAAGAATAGCCCTGGGTCCCACGCTGGCTCAGGGGGGATGCGATAGCCCAGCTGCAGCGCGCCTGGAAAAGGAGGAGGAAACATAGGACAGAACACCATGCTGAAGTGATAATGTTGAAGCATCCATGAAGATAACCTCGTGACAAATCACAGGCTTCTCCCTAAGGCAGTGAATAAGTGCTCTTCAGGCTGTAGTGGCTGTGTATTTTTCCGTGTTTTCTGTAAGTGCTCACTCGTACATTTTATCTTACGTAGAGGCTGCTTGATCTGGACATGAAGGAGTTGTGTCAAGAGCTCCAGACAACACAGGCCTTCTCTCTGCCTGAGTCACGTTGCCCTGCAGGGCCTCCTGGCCCCCAGGTGAGTGATGCATTTGTGACCAAACCACAGTACTCTCTCACTCGCTCCAAAGTCCTTATAATGCTGTTAAACGTTTTCTGTAAATGCCTTTTATAGCCTAATAAGCATATCAAGCTCTGGCTTAAATTCATTTTGACATGACTATGCATAAATCGTGTTGGTTTTTTACCTTGTGTTCTCATCCCTGTCCTGAATATTCCAAGTTTGAAGTTCAGCTTTCATTTTCATGGAGTTTTACAGTGGGTAGCAACCCTGAAGAACCCCAGAGGTGCCATCACCTCTGAGGATCTTTGCTGGTTTATTTGTTTGCTTTAGACTCTCGTTACATGAGAAGAGAGCCTGCAGAACTGAGGTGCAATGAACTTGAAGGTTTGTGGAGTACCTCCCTGTAAAGGATAATGCCTACAGTGCAGGCTAGGGACAAGGAAGGGCTTTTGGGTGGGGCTCAGGAGATGTAGGCTTATCCAGTGTGTTCTTTGCCCCTGGCTTGCTGGGCAGCCCATTTGATCTTTCATTTTCTACACTTTGTACAGTTAGGGCAGGAGGCCTGAAATCTACTGAGAAAATGTTCCACATGTAAGGGAGAGTTTTCTGTAAAAGTCTACAAATTGAGGAGAATGCCACCCACCTGCTTTTGCATTCCAGTCTGTACCATCCAATATAGAATAAAACATAAGGGAAAGTCATTTAGCGTGTAAATTAGGAGACATGGAGAAGTGATGGTAAAACAAATGTTTGTGTTGCCCAGTGCTGAGAAAAGTCTTCTCTGCGTTATGGAGCAGCCCTGTGGTGTGGCTGGCCACCATCTAGAGCTGCAACACATGTGGAAGAAGCTGTTGGTTTTTCAGTCTTCACCAGATTGTCTTTTTGAAAAAAAAAACCTCTTTGTACCATCTCTGATTTGAACGGGAAGAACCATAATATCCATTCTGTTGTTTTGCAAGATCCAACCGATAATTAACCTCACAAATGAATTATCTGTGATCCCTCCAAGAATGTTTTTAAATGGAGTAGGCCAACAGACTGTATCACAGCACAGACAGTAGGATGGGTTTAAGATCGCTTTGGAATTTTTAAGTATGAGGTTTTTTTTCTAGAAAAATGTTAGAGCCAGTAATCCTCTGGACAACAAACTTGTGTCAATGGTCATGGAAAAATAAATGTTACTGTTGCTAAAAATAATCTAAGAATTAATTCTGGATTGCTTTCTGCTATAAATATGTGAATTTGTCATAATAAGGAGAATTAATTTATAAATAATTTTATAATGATGCGACTCTGTGTATAATTCCTCCCATGTTTAACCTAGCATAAAATGAAAAAAAAGTAGATAAACTTTGATTCAGACTATAATTAGCTACATTCTGATTTACACTATTGAAAGCCTAAAATAACTCTGCCGACTAAAATAGTTGGAGTAATTTACATTTGAGGATACAGTTTGCTCCTGCTCATGTACAATTTGCATCATGTTTTGCATGGTATAAGGCAGCGAGGCTCCAAGCCTAAAGTGAGCAATTTGTATGGTGAACATAATGCTCCTTTCAGCATGGCTCATGGGATTTCCCTTAGTCATTCGGAAACAAAAGGGGATCTCTTGACTGAAGCACTCCAGAAACAAAGCTGTTTTTTTCTGAGCTGGGATTCAAGGTCTCCATGGGTTAAGAAATCTTCTGAAAGGGGAATATGCCTCACATGAGAGAGAGAAATATCTTAATGTTTTGTGGCTTAAACAGATGTGTGAGGCTTGGTCAGTCTTTATTTCAAAGACGTTTTTTGTCTTTTCTAACCATGAGTTTCAAATTATGTCATCCTTGCCCATTATTTATGTCCAGCTTCCCAAAGCCGCATCTCTTCATTCAGTTATAATTTCAGGGAAGTAAGAAAAGATGTTCAAAAAGCTGCTGTTGTTTATCTTTGAAAGGCAGCTTCACACAACATGGGAAACACAGATTCATGGTTTTTTAAATTGCTCACAGAAAACAAGTATTTCCTCTGAACAGCTTACATCTGGGCTGCACACCAAGCAGCAGGAGGCTACGGAGAATAAAAAAATTAAAGCTAAGTTTCCTGTTTAACTAGAAATTTAGGATTTGTTTAAGCAGGAGGGTTGGATATCAGAAAAAGGTTGTGTACCAGAGGGAGTCTGAGCACCAGGGCAGTGGTAAGGGTCTCACACTGACTGATTTCAAAAAATATTGGGTCAAAACTTTCACTCATGGAATCTGATTTTTGGATGGTCCTGTGTAGAGCTAGGAGTTGGACACAGTTTTCCCTGTGGGTTTCGTCTAACTAAGGATATTCTATGATTCTACGATCTTTCCTATGCCTTAGGTCCTTTTTCTTCCTATTTTCTTTGTTTAGGAGATGCCCCTGCGCTTCCCATGTCAGTGCAACTCTCCAGTTGCCTTCAGAAATGACACAGACCTGGCATTTAGAGACAGTGTTCAAATATCACATTCAACACCCTGACCTTGTGGGTTTACATCATTCCCCATTGACACCCACTGGGCTGTGGGTTGAGGGAAGGTAACGCCGTGGTGCCTTCTCACAGATACAGCTCAATAACAGCATTTGTTTCTCTCCCTAGGGTCCACAAGGAATTCCTGGTATAATGGGACCAAAAGGGGAGAAAGTAAGTGCCTGTTGTTATGAAGTTTGGTGTGGTTTTGAGAAGTCAAGGAAAAGAATTGAAGGGAGGGTGTTGCATGTACTTTTTTTCATGTCTGTTTAGTCTATGATGGGACATAAATACATGTTGGGATTTGCTTTATTTGAATGTAAATCTATGGATGGATTTGAAGCTATAATTTAAGGCTTTATCTTCCAGTATTGACTTTCAGTCTCAAAATATTTTTTTATGGCTTCTCATGACAACTATCTGTCTCTACACTATGGGTGAGAGAGCAGCTTGTGTGCCAAATCAGTGCTCTTACTAATCCCTGTACTTAAAACACCTCCTCCTCTGGGAAGACATGAGGGACAGAGCTCACCCACACAGCATTGGTTGTGTGGGCCAGCTCATGTTAAAAGCAGTTTAGATATTAATGAATGGCTTTAGACTTGCAAAGCATTTGTACCATGATGATGCCTACCTGAAACTGGGCACAACTGCCTGCTTTTCTTGATAAGGAAGTGGCTGTAGATTCAGGGCTGAGAGTGCAGGAAAAGCCTAGGAGCTTCATTAAAGTAATTCTTCTCATTTTACTTCTGGAAAAAAAGTTCTGAATGCAGAGGTATTCCCAATGCTCTTTATAAATGCATTGACTAAAGAGCCTCTGTGGTCTGTATGATATGTCTAACACATTCCTTTTTCTGGCAGGGGGAGATTGGCAGGCCGGGAAGAAAGGTATGGATGAAGGTGCTGCCTCAGACATCAGCCCAACACTTGACATGCACAGGCAAACACTGAATATAAATTGGCAATTATTGAAGTTCACCCTGCCTGTGTTGCTCCAGCAGCCAGGAGGTGGCAGGGAGCTCTGGGTGCAGGGCTGGAGAGCTGCCACAGCTGGTTTAATTCAGTTAATTCCATTAATAAGAGCATCCACCTGCAGCCAGACAATAACAAGAGCGGGAAATTACCTGAACTACTTCTCTGTGGATAAGGGAAGCAGAGTATAGGACCTACCATAAAAGATAAAAATAAACAAAACCAACAAAGCCAAGTCAAACTTTTTACTTCTTGAAAGCAGGGCCGGGATGGACCCAACAGCCCCTATGGAGGAATGGATATTAATGATTACACTTCCAGAGCTTTGGCACCGATGCAATATGCTGACTACAATCCTGTGCTTGTTGACATATGAGCCGTGATACATTGTCAAAAATATGTGCCCCTACATGTGATGAAACAGAATATGTTATCTCAGTTACTAAAAGTGCTTCCATTTAATGTAATTAATTTTAAAAGAAGACAGAAATGCAGGATGAAATCAGAGATATGCAGGGGGTAGTCACTAACTAGGAAAAGAGATACTGTTCTAATAATAAGCAAAGGCAGCTACTGATCAATGATTCTAATAAATAGGAGACATATAAACAAAGAGATTTGTAGATTTATCTGCATTTCAAACATCCCACAGTAAGCAAAGATATTATCTGCATAAAAATCATCAAAATTAATGTCTCAGAGAGAGTCACCCATCAAGTTACAAGAGAGTGCAAACCTCAAACCGTGGTGTACTTCCACTTCTGACAAATACTGATAGGTCCCAAAGGAGAAGCTACCAATACAGTATAAAAACAGTGTAATTCCTGCTAAAAGCTGCCTGGCTCAAGGGAGGTCTCTGTTAGCTTCAAAGCTGTGATCAGATTTCCAGGATTGTATTTTCAAATGATATAAACAGTGGAATAGCACTAATCTGCAGCATTTTAGGAGCTAACCAAAGAGTGAATTACAGGCAGTAGTTAAAAGAGATAAATAACTTCTTGTATTATTGCAAATCATGTAGTAGGTGATAAAGAGCAATTGTATGTGAGTATGAGTGCTCAGAATGAAAATATTGGAGGAATAAGAAGAGGAATATCTTAGTTGAAGGTTTGGGTCTGTTCTTACTATAAAATGCACTTCTTGGAGGTCTTTGTGATGCATTTTTTTGTTCTATATTGTTTGCTTTAAATGAGAGTAAGGTCAAAGTTAGTAATACTGGCTTTTTTTTTTTTTTTTTCCTCTAGTGGTTATTTTGATTAAATGTAGATTTCTCTGTAGCTGATCTACTTATTTGAATCAGTATAAATTGATACTTCTGTGAGTCCACATTTCATCCGGCAGTAATGCAAATAGTATTATGAATATAAAACAGCGTTTTTTTATAGTAAAGAAGCATTTGCAGATATTTTCCTGAAAATACAATATCCTTCCACATCTACTTTCTGCAGTGGAGACCTGTGTGTAGAATGATGTTACATGAATTGTTGTAACCAATGTTTTCCGTTCAAGGGTAGACCAGGTCCCCCGGGTGTCCCTGGGATGCCAGGACCAATAGGATGGCCTGGACCTGTGGGACTGAAGGTAAGACTGAAATTAATATAGGATAATCTACTAAACTTCATGATCTGAACACAAGGGCTGCTTAGGAAGCCTGTACACCACTCTCTGCTGGAGAATGGGGAGGTGAAGCAGTGTGAGGACACTCAGTGCTTGCCTGATTTCTTACACTGCTCTGCAAAAACCTTACACTGCACTATCAGCCTAACCCCATGTAGCACTTAAAGCATGTTGCAGGTAAATTGAATATCAAGTCTAATGAAGACTCACTGATAACCACTGTTGTTTCACAAACACGTGAATCAGTGTTTCAAAACTGGCCATTGTCTCTTATGACTGTTCTTGATGATCTCTTTGCTTGAATATACTTTGACAATATAAAGAGAAAATGTCAGGCTATTTTCAGGGGAAAAGGATTACAAACCACGTGTATTAATAATGTGTTCTTTGACCTCACTCCCATACAAGCAGACATTCATTCCAGTGAGTTTTTGTAGCTAATAGCAGTAGTAATGGCAGGACACACTTTACTATTGCAGAGTGATTAGTCCATTTGTTATAAACCAAGCTGCAGAACAGTCCTCTGAGTTTTACCTAACACAGATATGTAGATCTACAGTGGAGCTACTAAACACAAGGTTTCTGCTGGGACACTTGAGATAGATAACCTGCTTTTATCTATCCAGGACGTATCAGGCAAAATGATGGCATATTATGCTTATTTTGAAACTGCATTTTCGAGGGAATCTTTGACTGTTCATTCACTCCATCATAGCTGCTAGTCCATCTCAGAGGACACGATGCCATACATTTTGCTGCTGCAGGAATAACAGTAAACTACTTCTGAATTCAAGCCATACCTGGGAAGCAGACCCTCAAGCTCCTTATGGTTGTGTTAGATGAGGAGCATCATATTCTGCATAGTATGTGGGAGTGTAGGCAAGCAACTGTGCTTTTCAGCCAGTGTACTAAAAAGGAGCTGAAGTTCACTTTGAACTGAGAGACAAGGAATGGTGTCCTCCCAAAAGCACTGCGGAGATTTCCTACAGTGGGAGCAGTGAGGGCAGAAGGAAGATACTGCTACCTACTTTCCGCACGGTCCTGAGAGTGGAGCAGTCAAAACTCATTCATTTTGCTTTTTTTTTTTTTTTTTTCAGTATAAGCTCTAGTTATATTTCTGAAGACTGTCTAAATTTGTTTTTAATACCTCTTTGCTATAGCTTTTTTCATTGCACTTCCAGAAGCATTTCTCACATTCAGGAGTAATATTCGGTCGTATCTCTCTTTCCTTTTTCTTCTGATCTCTGACCTTCCCAGAATCTGATAGCCATCTTCATTATAGTCATTCTTTGCACTTTATTCTTGCTGTAAATACCCTGCAAACTGTTTTGCTTTGTTTTAAGCCACGTTCTCGTCTCTGCCTTCTATTTCTTTGGTTGGATCTACTTCCTCTTTGTCAGACACACTCTTGTCCAATCTGTATTTCTTCTACTTTGTTTCTTCGGGTCTTTTCTGAACTGCTGAGGCAGCAGCCAACATGAAAATCCTCTCTAGTGCTGGGAAAGAGAGTTAACTGTGTTCTGTTGGTAGGGCTGTTGCATGTCTGCAGAGTCTGCCCTTAGGTATAATTAGTGGCAGCAGCCAGAGAGGATATTGTAAAGCCTTTACATGATTTATTGTATCTAAACCACTGTAAAGCCCATTATATCTCGGAATGATGATAAAAGTAATCATGCCTCTTCAAGCCATAAAGGCTTGCAACAAAATACCTTTCTTTTCTGCAACTCAGTAGAAGTGATGTTTGGGAGAAACAGTGCAACTTGATGTAGAAAAAGGATGTACTTCTGCTGCTTATTTGCTTTCATGTCACTTAATGGCATCTACCAAAACTGAAGCACAAATTGCACACCCAAGAAAATAGGAGAACAAGAGAATACGTGAGGTCACAGATAGAGCACAAATGCAATAAGAACTCTGACTATGTTACAGGAAGGTCAGACTTGCCTCATGTATTTGTCACAAAACCCAGAACACTGAACTATCAATCAGACATTCAGCTATGACTTCAGCAGAGAGCCACAATCAGTAACTTTCTTTATTGACCTCCTTAGGGTGAAAAGGGAGATGTGGGTGTGATGGGATTGCCAGGTACCAGAGGACCAATGGGCTCCAAGGTTTGTTAAGCAAATGCTGCATTTTCAGACGTTGGTTTCTAACGCTCTGCTGACAGCTGCTTCCCTCATAAATTTGCTGGAAAGCATTTATCAAGACATAGCTTTTTAAATACAGCTAGAGGTGCAAGTTCTCCTTCAAGCAAGGCTATGTTTTTTGGTTGGGCTTGGCTGCATTTTTGGCTTTTCATAAAAATGCTCTGGTGCAAGTTACTGCATAATGCGAAAATTTATTTTAAAAGCAAAGCAAATATGTAACTATCCCACTGGAATACTGGAGTTCTTCAGTATACCTCCACCATTAACTCATACCTGCAATGGTTTTCACCCATCTCAGAAGACTGGAGAACGTTTGTATCTTCTACTAAAGCTATGTGTATGTGTTGACATTTGGATAGTAAGCTCAGTTTGGTCCAGAGGGTCTGTTATCTGCACATCATTTTCTATAACATGGCTTCTGCTTTAACAAAATGTATGCCACAATGCTTTAAGGAACTTGATGAAAATTATGTATGTAGATTAGTCAGATGAAGCAATGGAAAGAACAGCTGGGCACAGCTAATTTGCTGTATTTTTCTTAAAGGGAAACTCAGCTTTATAGTAATCTTCACTCAGATGAGGGCTTAAATGTAATTTAAGGATGTTCTCCAGGGAGAAAGAAAAGAAGAAGATTATTTCTAAAATTAATTTAGATTATTAATTGTAATTTCATTCACTTTCAGTTACATTTGATTTCCCTTGTTTTAGTTTTAAAAGCAATATTGAATCGGCTGGCTTTAACTGGCTTTTTCACCATAGCTTTTGGGCTGATTTGTCTTGCCTTTAATTCTTATTTCATAATTATTTTCAGTGCACTTCCATAAGCTATAAATATAATTTTGCTGTTACAAGTAGATGCAATTAATTACTTGTGCTTCATTTCTTCACTTGAAATCTGCAAGGTATGAATTTGCTTCTTTGGTAATCTTGAAAGTGAGAAGCATTAAAATATCTGTCATTCCCTTTAGGGTTTTCCAGGAACTAGAGGAGAAAAGGTCAGTGTAACAATAGAATAACGTGTAATTTGCAATTGGGAACAGTTGTCTAAAACCAGTAACTAAAAATAAAGTCGAATTTTGATGGAGTGATGGCTGAAGGTCTCGTTAAGAAATGCAAAGATGCAGTGCGAAAGGTGTACTTGTGACTTGGGGTGAGATGCTGAAGAAATGAGTCTTACACCCCGTTTTCTTGTGAACAAGTTACTACAACGAGCCCCACTACAGTTTCCCCATCTCTAGCATGGGTATAATGATCCTTAATTGTTAATTGGGTTTATTTAGGCTACATATTCTTTGATGCAGAGACTTATTTTTGTCATTCAGTGGGGTCTGAGTTTCAATGAAGATAATTCGGGAAACAATTAAGTCTCAAGTACTGCATCAAAGGAAGCCCATATTTAAAGTAATTATCTGAGGAGAATAAGTGCCTTTTTCTACTAGTCTGACTCTTAATCCTACTGTAATGTCAGTGAAGGTAATAAGGGAACATTTTAGGTTATCTACTGTGCACCTCACCTGAAGATACTACTGCATTGTGCGCCATGACAAATAATGCCTCACATAGGATAAATGTTTTTCATTTCCTCATGAAATGATAGTAATTATGCTGTTGCTACCCTGTTATCTCTCACCAGGGTTCCAGAGGGGACAGGGGTGACAAAGGAGTCAAAGGAGACCAGGTACTTTTCCAGATGGCTGTGAGTTTTAGCTGAATGAGCGCGTTAACACTGAGGTCTTTCTAATAGCAAAAGAGAGGGGTGACATGGAAGCATGTTCCTGGGACGGTAAGAAGGCAGTGGTCCCACATTATGTGGTCCTCTGTGTCCATGTACCCCACCTACCCCAAGGCAAGTGGCACTCCTGACTTGTATAGGACAGAACAGTGATGGCTTGACAAATGTTTTTAGCTTGTGAGATGGTATTAGTGTAAGGAAAAAGAAAAAAGAGAAAAAGAAGGAAAAGAAAAAGAAAAGAGAAAAAGAAAAATGAAAAGAGGGGGGGAAAAAAAAGGAAGTCGTATTTGTGGGTTGGGAGGTCTTTAACAAAGAAAAGAAAAGCAAATTCCTTTTGGTGTAAACGGAGAATTGCCATTCCCAAAGATAAACTGTGGGCATTGTCCAAGTGGCTGCGGACAGAAGCACAGCTGGTATGGTTTTGGCCAAGAAGAAGCAGGCTGTGGAGGATCAAACAAAGGATCAATGTTATTATACAAGGATCTTTATAGAAAAATCTTGTAAATCCAGAACAATTCTAATAATTCTACTGTCACTGCTACTGATGAATCACATTGTAGGTTTATTTGTTTGTTTTTAACTGATACCAGTACATGGCATTGTTAATTTTTCCTTAAAGGCCTAAATTGGTGCTGCTTTGTCAAAGATCACTCCGATTATTTTGATGATTTTTCTCTTTTCACTTTGCAGGGAGAAACAGGCTCCCCCGGAATGCTGGGACAGAAAGTAAGTGGGCACAATATATTGGGGAATTGCAATAAGTGCTGGCATACAGTCAATAAATGGCTTTGGAGACATTCTGGAAGGCATAAGGCATTGCAGGTCTTGCTTGACTCAATGATGAGCACTTCTTAGATGTGATCAAATTCTTTTTTTTTTTTTTTCCTTTAGGAGAAAACCCAAGATTTATCTGCTTGTTTTTTCTCTTTTTTTTCTCTTTTTCTTCACAGAATGTAGGTTTAGTCACAATTTTCTTTCTATTTAACATAGTCAGGCACATGATATATATTCATGAGCAGCCTAATTGTTTGTTTGGGTTTTATTTTTCACTTATTTTTCTAATCCTGCAATTCCAAATGTGCGTCTTAACAGCAAACATGATATTGGAGAGTTTTGCTGGTCTTCACCTCCCTTTTAGAATATTTCTGGTCTCCCATTCAGCTTCCTCTTTAAAGAGGAATCTTTCAAGGAAATTTTGATAAAATAGATGTTTTTGGCCTTACTCTTGTTTTAAAATATGTTGTGAATTTCCAAGAAAAACATGATGTCAACATAATTGCAAGAATTGCATGAACAAAAACATCAGCCATCTGCTGTGCCATAGAAGGCAAGTATGCTCTACTTATGTTCTTTTTCTTTCCCTCCTCACCCACCAAGGGAGAGATGGGCCCAAAGGGACAATCTGGAGCACCAGGACACAGAGGACCTATAGGAAGACCTGGAAAACGAGGCAAACAAGTAGGCCCTTGGTGTTTCCCTTTCAGTTCCCTGCATTTCTCAGTGTGTGTATGATGGTGGGGTGTGACTGTGTGGTTTGTGTGGGCGCCTTGCTCTTGGTCCCACTGGCAGGACTGTAGCATCTCACATGCATGTCCAAGTCTTGTCTTCCATGCTCAAATCCCTTGCTGTGCAGCATAGCTCAAGTAGCTTTTTGCCTAGTTTGATAACTAGCTCACTGAATATAATCAAAGCATACCTTGAACCTAAAGAGTAGACCCTTTGAATCCTAAAAATCACAGAGCTACACTCTGAATCCCATCTGATAACTGGAGAGTGGGACAAACTGGATTTGTTCTGTCCACTGCATCCCATTTAGTTCTATGAGGCTTTGACCAGGCTTGGTGCTGGTGACACAGACCATCTTGCAGAGCTGCAAGGCTTTGAAGATGTCTGAAAGAGTGCAATGAATCAAAGCACTGCAGCACCCCTTTTTCTCTCATTTAATACTAGAACAATATTTAATTGTTAGACAAGGATATTTATGTGATACTTCTCACTGTAGTACAGCATGCCAGGGGTCTGTTCAGGAAGACATGCACTGACAGTAAGGGGCAGTAATATTTTATGAAAGTGTCTTAGAGATGAAATGGTTGCACATGCTCCTTATTTGGGGATCAAAATAATTGTGTTGGCTGAACTGATTTTTTTAAACTTTCAGATTAATTGTAAGGATTGGGAATTGTGTGTTGGCTTCTCCAACACTGCATTTTCCAAGAGGGTAATAGTGTTAGTGATAGCTGCCTATTCAAGTCACCAGATAAACCTCTTGAATTTCATCTTTCCTTGTATATTTATTAGAGGCAGTGACATTGTGGAGGAAAGGGGAGAGTAGACACAAAGTCCAACCTGATGCCAAGGAGAGTAGTCCCTTTACTGCTCTGAACTGCCATCTGTGGAGTCTATTTTCTTTCCTCTGACAGGGCAGGGAACGGACTCCTGCTGTATTGACGCTGTTTTTAACATGTATCTGCTCAGATACTGGAGCTTGTAGATGCTGTGGTTTTATTTGCAGTCTGGTTATGCCCAGCATTGCAGACAGAGGCACAAGCTTGCTTTGCTGTTGGTCTAATGTTGTCAGCTTATATCTGAAGAGAAAGAAAACTCAATGTGGGGAAAAATAAAAATTGGATGTTGGGTGCTAAGTCATCACATAAAGAAGATATGTGCAGTCTAAGTCTGTGCAATGTAAACTGTGCTCATCTCTTCCTCACACAAGGGATGTGCACAGAATATTGTTCTGTAGCATAAGGCAGAGAAAAGACAGAGTGCCTGCAGATCAACAGGAAAACAGTGCAGTGTCCCTTTTTTCCAAGAGGACTTTATACGTGATCTTAGACATTTTGTCACATTACACAATGTGTGGATCAAAAAGCAGTCACATAGGATGTCGTGGGTCAGGGCAGCAATCAGTGTGACTGAAAGAAATGTAGTCTTGACTGAAGTAGGGATTCATGGAGGCTTGGTTATACAACCCCTATCTGTCACCTTGAAAGCAATATCAGCATTGATCTTCTGCAGAAAAACAGGGCTTCTCCTTCTGTAATTAATGAACTATTTATTTCCTTTCTCCTCTTAAAAAAAAAGTACAATAAAACCACAAAAAAACTTTAAAAAACAAAATGCAAAACTGCAGGTGGCATTTTAAGGCTGTGTAGATCTGACTGCTGCCTTTAAGTGCTGTAGTTATCTGGCTGTTTGTTCAGCTGATGTTTTCCATCAACATGGAGCCATTTCCTGTCTCTTGATCCAGCTGACATCTCCAGATGAAAGCAGCTAAATTAGGAAGGTGTCATTTCCACTTCCATTTTGAGATACGTCTTGATGATCGCATTCACTTCTTCAATTCTGCTGTGCCTCTGGGGCAAGTTCTTCCTAAATGGTAGCCAAGAGTTGGGAGCCACAAGCCATCACAGCCTCACTGTCCCCAAACAGTTCATAACACTCAAAGCTCCGTGACTTGAGAGTTGACTCCTGAGGAGCAAGTTTAGGATTTCCTTTGTGAAGGAGGAATGACTTAAACTTTGAGTCAAGATTACTTGGGAAAAAAGGGAGAGGACTGTAAATATCAACTTTTTGAATGGTATGGTCACAAGTTCTTCAGTCTACCTATGCTAAGCAAGAGAGCATTAAGCAGGCATTCCTCCAAAACAGGAGTCACAGAGTTCAGCTAAATTTCAAGCAGCAGAATATGTCAGAATAGCACTGGATTTCTCTGCTAGATTCTTACAGTGTGGGGAATAAGATTTCCCAATGTTTTCTTTGAGGGTTTCAAAGTCTTGGTCTGCCAGTTTTCTGTATTGTTGTTGCGTGATGTAAGAAGCAATTAGTGATCAACGTTGCTGACATTCACATAAATCCTGGAATATTTTAATGGCACAGAGTTTATCTAATAGAATTAAACAAAGCAAATATTCAATTAGTTTTTTATGGGCCATAAAAAAAAAAAATAACCTTCCTCTGTTGAAATGGTGCAAGAGACATTCAGATGTATTCGTGGGATGCGGGATATTCTGTAACAACAAATTATTTTGGCATATATTACTATGTATGCTTCATTACTCTGAAATTAGCTATACAACTGCCCATCATCTGTCCTTGAATGAACATTAACTCAAAATCACTCTGTCGAAGGAATTAATCTCATTGCTATTGAAAGGAGTATAGCACAGCACATTTTTGTTTTACTAAATGATACACTGTTACATAAGAATAAAATCAGTTATCTCAGCTTTAAGCTATGTAACACACTTCTGAAATATAAAGCTGAGAAATGCAAGCCTCGGAGAGAATATGAGCAGGAAGATAAATGTAGTTATTTTTAATAAGTGTCACCATATTAAATTCTGGAGCAAAAATAGGAAGGTGTTGAATAGGTCTAGGGTAAAACTTTCAAATGCCTCATGGTATGGCTACACAAACGAGCTTCCCTGAGGCAAATTAGGGCTGATTTTACAGAATATTATATTATTGTGTGGTAACTCTATAAACTTGTCTTCTATAGATAATTTTACAGCATTTTGACTGAGTGATAAGGCTCCAGAGCAACATCATTTGTCAGCGTACAGCTGGGAAGTCACTCTGTGCTAGCTTACACTTTGCAAAAGCAATCCCTTGCTTGCCTTGCAGTGCTTTGTTAACAAAGGTATATTCACAGCAACAGCCAAGGGGATACATGAATTAAGGTTCTAAAGTACTTCTGAAAATACTGTGGGTCTCCAAGTAATTAGTGTTCTTCTGAAGATCCATGCCTTAAGACTGGGAAATGTCACTGTAGAAGCCCTTGTGGACTCCTTATTTAATTTTCTCTTTCTGAAGGTGCGGTGAATCAATTTCTTAGTCTACCCTGCAAACTCAGCCTATGCCCCTGAAGTCAGAGCCACTTACCAAGGATTTCAGCTCCACCAGTCCCTTGTCTCTGAGCTGCACTGCCTCCTAGGGAATGACAGGGATAAAAAGGCATCCCTGAAGGAAAGCCCCTGAATGACTGAAATAAGATCAGGGTGATCCCTGACTGCACACCGAGCAGATCTGCTGGTACTTTTCACTTTCAGAAGGAGAAGTCCTGCCTGGACCCAAGTAGAAGAGGACAACACCTCTCTTCTCTGGAATGATGGCTATGAAGTTCATTATGTATGCTCCTGTTGGTAGATGCATTGGCTTTCTTGAAAGGGAAGCCAGTGCAGGCTGGGGGAACTTATGTGACATTAATTGCTTAGGAAATAAATGAATGTCTCCTCTTTCTTAGGGGCAAAAGGGAGACATTGGACCTGTGGGTATCATGGGCCCACCTGGAAGGCCTGGTCCTTCTGGCCAGCCAGGCCCCCCTGGACCTTCAGGATTAGGTAAGTGGGGATCAGGCCATCTTATGCAGTGTCCATCCTCCCCACCCCTCCCGACTCAATGCATATTCGTATGTAGCCTCTACAAAAAATGATCCACCAACAATAAGGACAGTTTTCTCTGCAAGGCACATCATGCCTTCGCTATCCATTATAAGGGCTTTAAATCGGACTCTAATGCCTACATTGTGACTTTTGATGCCTCAAATAAAACCAAAAACCTGGCCTAGATGGTTCATGTGGAATTTTGGCAGATGTGTATGATGAAAAGCTATCCGGCAGCCTTGAAGGGACTGGCTGGTCTCTATCATCTGCTGCTTCTCTAGATGTCCTGGCTTACAGTGAAAAATCAAGATTTCTAATCAGCCAGGACATATTTACCCTGTACAGCTCTGTACAAGTAAAGTAAGTGAGACTCAAGAGAAGGACTGAGGTAAGAGTTAAAGGAAAAACGGATGATAAAAATATCTCTTTTTAATAAGTGCTGTAGATGTATGCTGTCTTCATTTCTGCGTATTGTGGAAATCATAAGAAAAGCTCATAGTTGATTATTGTACAACTTCAAAACTATGTTCACAGAAACTCTAAGCAGCTTGCTTTTTCTTGTGAGACCAAGAATAGACATGAAGGATTGTACACAAAATATTCAGTGAAAATGGAAGTGTTTTCCTAACCTGCATATATGCTCAAGTGTTGGTAAAGAAAGGCAAGCTCAGCTGGAAACAGCTGTTGTCACAAACGGACAAGAGCACTTTGTACCTCGGCAATTTGATGTCTTCTTTCCATTTTCTTTTCCCTTTTTCTTCTCTTGCTCACATCAGTGGACAGAAATTCTCTTCCAAATGGTACTAATGGAAATGGTACATCTTCAAAGCTGAGGCTGCTTCAACATCTACACATCTCTTGTCTCTCAGTGCAAAATACCGTTAACCTGAGTAATTCAGCTGGAAGTTTTCAGAGGACAGAATTTTACCATACTGATGGGAAGGAGGCCAGGATCTTGAGATTGCTTTTAAAAGGATTTATTGCATCCCCAGAAAGTTTATGTATCAGGCTTGTTGGTCTTTTCCCTCTAGAATATAAATTCTTGTCCTAAATGACCTTCCTGTAATAATATCACTGCTTGCAATATGAACATGTTGGCTCATATTTAATTCTGCAGAGCACTACATCCTTCCCAGAGTTTGAAAGTCAAAAAGCAGTTGGTTTTTATGTATTTATTTGTAGCACTCCTTTGTTTATTGTTCAGTTTTCCTGTACAAAAGCCTTTGAAACAACACTATTGAAGTGTCCACAATGTGTTGTGGACATCTACAGAGACTGACTTAATGTCGGTCTTATCAAACTCACCACAAAGCTGTTCTGACCAGGCTGATTTTTGCCTGGAAATCTTAAGCAAATGGCAATTCTCTTTCTCCAAAATAGTGGTTAAAGTGTGATCTGAAAGATGATTGTGGCACAAATTCTGTTCTTTCTTCTGAAGTGCTGGAATTGGTGATCCTGGAAACTACTTCCTTCCATTCTCAGTATTGCTTGTGGGAGAAACAAAACTCTAAACTTATGTGAACACATACATCCACCTGACCATACTTTTCCCACTAAGGCTGTGTTTGGGTTTTGTTTGTTAATTTCATAACAGTGCAACAGAGTTTTTTGCTTCCTAGGGCAATTTGCAATAGGACCAAAAGGGGAAAGAGGACTTCCAGGACCTCCAGGAAGATGCCACTGCAGACCCCCACAACATGTGAATAATCCACCATATGAGGAGTCTGTGTTTGGACACAGGTATCCAAAAGTCCCTGCGGTAAGCAGATTTCTGGGAGAGGATGTGAATGGTTCTCAACATGCTTTTATTATAAGAATCATTGTATTAACTACTACATTGGATGTAACAGGAAGATGGCTGTGTTTGGGCAATGCATTACGTCCAGCACCCGATCAATCTGTGCTCAAGTATATGGTCTCTCAACCAATCTGAGGGTTATGTTATGGAGGTGCTGAAATGCAGCAGTTTCAAACCACCAGTAATGCGGCACCTTTTTAGAAACCTTTCTCTTACCATGAGGATGCTCTTTTCTTACTGCACACACGATCTGTTCTTTTTATTTCAGTCAACTGCAGTATATTTCAGATTGGCTGGTGAAGGAAGCATCTACTTCTTGCTTATTTATCATATTTTCTTCTACACAGACAGTGATTTCAGAGTTGAATACTGGGGTTGAACATTTCACATATACAACAGAACTGTCCCTCAAAATACAAACCCTCCACCTTGAAACAAAAAGAGAGTCAGACTTCTGAGTGCTGGCTATGGGCATGCACTTACAGAGACAATTTCAGTTGCTAGCCTTCTTGAAGGAATTCTACAAGCGAATTGCAGAAGGTAATATAAAGGATAAGTCACTGTTAAAAAGTGACGTAGCAGTTTTCCATCTCTGATATCTTTAGGCGTTGCAAATAGCATTTCTGGACTTTTCCTTCAGCTGGGCCTTGATTTTTCTATTTTGTGCACTGTAGCACTTAATTAGCAATGAAATGCCACCTTTCTGCTGCTGCTATGCACAGGCAGAGCCCTGCCACTCAAGCAAGTGGCAATCGCCTGTTGTCTTGTCTCTGAACGTGCAGTGATTAGCTCTGATTAACTTTCCCATCCCTCACGTTTCCAGAGCTTTCTGTATGAAAGGGACATGATGACCATACACCGTTCCTTTAACCAGGTCATTGAGCTGAATCTTCTGCATAAGTGTGCTGCAAGTCTTGTCAGCTGCTTGCTCGTCCCTATTGCACTGCAAAAAATGGCAGTAGAAGAAGGTGCATGAAATCAAGGTGCATACTGCATCATGCAATATTGCAAAAAAAATGTGATATAGTTCACGGGGAGCTCCTAGGCTAAAGAATAAGGCTCACAATGTTATGTGTCACTCTTATCGCCCTCCTTCTTCACCAGGCACTGTTTAAGAGTAGAGCTTAAAAGAGCATAGCTACCTTGAATATAAGTAACCCACATTATATACACCCTCACATGTGATAACCAAGTGCCATTTCTCTTGAGGGATGCAAAGAGAAAAGCCAGCTCAGAAATCCTCCTTGTGCCACTTGTAGACTGCAGTCAGGGTTGCTATAGCTGCACGTGGGAAGATGCAGAGAAGGTCCTCCATCCTTCTGCACATCCCCAGCACAGCCACCCACTTGCCCATCAGTGCTACACTGCTTGGGGTGAGGGTAGGAAACAAAGGACTGCTTTTCTGTCACTGGCTGTGATTCAATCAGGTTTTTTAATTCTTTGCATTTTCAAAGGGCAATATCTATAAGAGATTTTCAGAGGGCACAATCCGTTATTGATTTCCAGAGAAACTACAGCTCTGAGGCTGGGACTTCAGTTCCTGGACACAGCTACAGAATTGGTTCTTTGCTGGCTCTTTATTTCTTTGCTCTCTTTCATTCTAGCTGAAGGCACTTTTATTCAATTGGCCTTTGTCGGGGGCTATGGGAATATTCTGCTATGCAAAAACTTCTGGGTAATTTGTTTTAAAAAGAGCCAGTTCTGATTATGCTGGTGGGAATCAGGCTTTGACCCAAATCTACTTGCTCTGAATCATTCAATTTGCTTTTTCTTAATTAAAAAATGGTTTGAATCTTACTAAAATAAATTTGATTAAGCTTCCAAGGGAAGGAGTTATTTAATACCCCTTACAGCAAATTTTGGTAAATGAGACATGAAAGCAATTTGCGAAAAGAGCAGCTTGTCCTAATTCTCTCAATTTGTTACTAATATTTTTTTGTTTAACAGAAGACTTGAGTTTAAACTGAAGTATGTGCATGTAAAGAAACACAAATTTCAATGCTCATGAAGTCTAAAGTACAAAGTAGAAAAAGATAAGTGAAGGTTGCACTAAGCAGTGCTTTATTTTATTCACAGCCATAAACGAGCCTAAAAATTACTCACAAACCTAGAAAGAATACTTATGCACAGATGGATTTTGCAATTGTGCCAGCATCTAACTATTGGAACATCTGAAACTGTTCTCAGCAGTCACTGCTGGCATTGTTTGATGAGTGTTTGCATGGTCATTATCTGTGGGTGTGTAAGAGTTGGGGTCTCTGGAGCTTAGCTGGAGAGACCATGAGCTTTTGAAGATTCATGTCTCTTAGCAATTGCAAAGCAGCATCTTACATATGTACATTCTCACCCAGAGCTGGCCTGCCATTCTGTTTAAGAAAGCGAACTCTTTCTGTGCAATTCTTCATGTATTTGCAGATACATAATTCTGTCTGCAAAACTGGATTCCATGACAATTCAAAACACTTCTCAAGGCGGTTACCAATCACCTCTTTTTCTTGCCCCAGATTTTTGTGGTGAATAATCAAGAAGAATTGGACCGATTACACACTGAAAATGCCTTAGCTTTTAGAAGAGACCAGAGATCTTTGTATTTCAAGGATACCTTTGGATGGCTCCCAGTCCAGGTGAAAATATGACTGTGGTTTCAGAAAACTTGTGAGTGTATGTTTCATTTTTAAATACAGCATGTATATTATCATACAGAATCACTCAAGTGAATGAAGAAAAATCTTATTTTTCAGCATTATCGACACTGCATCTAATTCTGTGGGTTTTGTTCACAGGAGTCTTCGTTACTTACCAGTGCTATAGGTTTTGCTGGCCTTTCTCTGAACCAGCTGCTGAACCAGCCAGCTGGGACTGAGTTTGGGTAATCACAATTGTAACAAACAGTTTTGATTTAACACAGAATAAGGCAAAACTCAGCAGGGATAAGAGTTGTGGGAAGACACAAACCCTGCAAATCAAAATCATGTATTTTCTTACTGCTTCAAGGAGCTAAGTACCACTGAAATCAATGACAGGATCCTTATTTTTTCCACTGGGCTTTGAATCAAATTCTGTACAAACCCTGTTTCCCATTACATAGTGGGATATGGAAACAGGTTTTTGGTACCCACCTTCCACATCTCTATTTGTTGAGCCCTGCTGCTGGTATTCCTACACAGTAATCTCAGTGTGTTTTTTTTTTTGTCCAGCTCACCCCTTTCTACCCTGTGGATTACCGTGTTGAGGTTGGCAGTACGTGTGGAGATGGGATCGTTCAGGATGGGGAAGAGTGTGATGATGGCAACACGGTCGTGACGGATGACTGCATAAGTAAGTGGGAAGCAGCCTCTTTCTACATGGAAGTCACAGTAGTTGTTTCTGTGGAATAACATGCACAATGGCCACAACACCAAAATCAAGATCTTTCATGTACATGCATGCCACACGCAGGCAGAAGTCAGAGGTGATGCCAAATGTTCCCCATGTATCCTCATTGAGAACCATGTCCCTGGCTGCAGAGGTATTTGGCACCAGAGCAAAGCCCTTGCATTCCAGGGACTGGATCCAGCCATTGTTTTACACACAGACCTTCAATGGGACGGGTGTCTTTTTGACCACAAGATGTGGTACCTTTGCAGCATACACAAAACCCCTTTGAATAAGCATGTGCTCTGGCTCCTTCCATCACTTTCAGCCCACTGCCATTACTTAGCTTTACACTACATTTGATTCCTGTCTAGCTGATCTTCGTGCTTCCCTGGCTCTGGACAGCGAAGGCAAGGAGTGCAGAATATAAGCCTGGCACACAAAGAGCTATCACAGCTTTCACATCCACCCTTGCTTTCACTGCTTGGCTCCTTCCCCAGAATGCAGATGTATAAATGCCCCTCCAAGCTTGCCTGCCTACAGAGCAATCCAGTGAGACTGAGTTTTCCAGGCTCCAAGCATGAGAAAATGATTTAATTAGAATTTGCAGTCTGCCATGGGGAACAAACATGCAGGACAAATAGTGCTCATTAGCTCTAGTGCCTGTGAAATTGCACATTGTGCATCTGGAAGTCCATCATGTTGCTGTGTGCTATGCACTGGGCAGAGTCCATAGCGGCCTGGCAGTACACAAACTTCTGACGCTGATGTGACCTGGAAAGTTTTAACTGAATTATAAAGTCATAGGATTATCAAGATTGGAAAAGACCTTCAAGATCGCCAAGGCTAAGAATTAACTTGACCTACTGAGTCACATTACTATACCATGTTACTTGATGTCACAGATTACTTGAATATCAGCACATCATCATCTTTCTGATCTCAGAACTATATCAAAAGAGGTTAAAAAATGCTAAGTGGACTTGATTGTAAAATCAGCTCATTGTTTTTAGAAGCATTTTCCAATTATTAAAATACAGCCCACAAATTACGGTGCCTATGTACCAGACAGGCCCACACCAAAGTGTCTTAGTTTATGCTTTACCCTAAATCTAGCACCACTTGCCTCTCCAAAATCCATTACATATGGAGTGTGACAAAGGTATTTCCTTCTGTGTTTTTCACTAGGATGTCGCCGTGCTTACTGCGGAGATGGCTACAGACATGAAGGGGTGGAAGACTGTGATGGAAAGGATTTTGGATATCTGACATGTAAAACATATCTCCCTGGGTATGTGTGAACTGTCTTCCCTTTTGTTATTTTCTTCTTTGCCTTCAGCATTAAAAGAAAAGAGGATCACCCACATAAACCTTGTTCCTCTGGGACCACAGCAGGTAGTGAGAGAGACAGAGCCTATCACCTTATTTTTGTTATGTGAAGTCTATATTTCATTTCTCAGTTATAAGTACTTGCTTACACAGTGAATGATCATATAGATATATGTTTATCCATTGTTTTCAAAGATTTATTTATTTGGTATCTTTATTATTGCATTATTACTCACCCTTAACATACTAAGGGCAGGATACACCATGATGAAGAGATGATCATGTTGGAGGAAAGAAAACCAACCAACCAAACCACAGCCTCCAAACAACCTCCTGTACTTTTAATGAGTCCTCTAGAGGTATTTTTGTTTCTGAAACAACTATTCATCTATCAGCCTTTTTAAAGACCAGGAAATTCACTCAGAAGAGAGGGTATACATCTGCTTAGCAACACCCTTCCTTTCAAACATCTGTGCACAGCTGACTTGCCTCCTCTGCCTTTGTTCAAGCAGCCTCCTCTGGTGAGCATTTTGCCTCAAGCAGCAGCACCTCTATTTAACTGTCAGGTATTGTTACCCCATAACAGGAAACATTTAATTTGCAAATGAAATTATGTGCAGAGCCTTCATCATTCATGGAAGAATAATGTGCTAATTGACAGGAATAAGAAACCACAGGACATCTTTGTAAATCAAGTGCTGTGCTAATCCTTCCATTGCAGTTGTTGGAGCATGCCTGGAGTAAGAGATTACTAAAATTGAGACTAGTAAACCTGACAGCCCAAAACATTTTAAAGAGCTCCCATCTGCAGTGTGGAGCTGCTCGCCTGTGAAAGCTGTTCCATCTTAAGAATAGGAAGTTTGCTGCTGAAACGAGACCCACAAAAGCTTGAGAAAGTTTTATAAATTTCATTTTCCACATATAATCAAGTAGTGAAAAACCATTTAGATCCTTTTATCTTTGTGTTTGCAGTCTGTAGGTTACTTGCTTAATCAAAGAAAGAGCTGTGACTCATCAGTAAAATGAGGTGAATACATGAGCTTGGCACTGCAACAGGAGCTTCACCCTCTTCTCCAACACCTCTTCTGCAACTGATTTTCCCATTATCTGTACTTTTTCCAGTCCCAAGTCCTTCCTCACGTTTCATAGATGTTCTCTTCAAATTTTTGTTCTGTTTCTGAGGAAGTGGTTTATCCAAGGACACATTTCAAAGGACTGGTGCATTTACTACAGTTTGTGGATTATCTGATGGATGAGTTATTCACTTGCACTCATAGCAATATGTATGGGAACTGTTGAGTCACAGCCTGAGCCTCTGATTGACCACCTGAGGCAAGCACTGAGTCAGCCATGGAGCACAGGTGAAGGCGATTCAGCTGTGCGACCAGAAGGGGTGGAGCCTGGCTGCACCTCTCCTAAACTCCAATTAAGGGCTGACTGCCACTGGGAAGGGTCTCTTTCTGGAGATCTTCTGGTCTTTCCTGTGAACCTAGATTTTGGATACAGGTGAGCATTGCTTCCCTGTTTGTTTCTTTTCCTATTTTCACCACAATGATTTTTCCAGCTGTAACACAATAAAAACTCAGCAAAATTTTTTTTTTTTTTTATGTCATTAGCATCACTGGTCGGATGTTCAGTAGGTAGTCACGGCAGCTCAGTGTAAGCAAGCAGAAGGACAAAATCAAAAATGTTTTCTCTCATTTTATAAAGGCCCTTTGAAAGGCCTCCTTTTAGTTTAAAGGTATATATCTGTTGCTATGAAAAATAAGTTAAAGGATGGGTGCAGTCATGCCTGCTGGAGCCATTGGAAGTAACTGGAAAAACACTTAACTTGGGTTCTCAGTTATTTAGTTATGCTTTTCCTGTAAGTGAGTCCCAAGGGCTTCCTCCACCTACACACGAGTGTTTGTTTTAATTCTGATAATTGTTTTTGTCGTTTGTTTGTTTGTTTGAATTCTAGTAATTGACGATTAAGACTTTATTCATAGTGACAAGGGGGAGCACAGCAGAGAGCCTCAGGAAATCGCTTTCATCTTTTCATTGCCAGATGTCACTGCGCTTGGTGTTTTCTGATGTTCTTGAGTTCTTACAGCACACAGAGAACATGTGATGTGAGCTACAGCATGTTTTGAAACTGAGATATTCTCTTTTATTTTAGGTCTTATGGAAAATTGCGATGCACTTCTTACTGCTACATTGACTCTACACAGTGCCGATACTTCACATGAGGGGAGCAGAGAAGGGCAGCATCCCACACGTCATGGGGTGCGAGGTGCTATGCTGTTGTCTAGCTGAAAAGGTCTGGGATTTAAAAAAGAAAAAAAGAAGGAAAAAAGAAAAAGAAGAAAAAAGAAAAAAAGCCATCTCTGTGAAAACAAACAGACTTCGTGCTTCTGATGGCCATGTTGAGATGTTTGGCTTTTTTTTTTTTTTTTTTTAAAATTAATTAAGCCAGATTCTGAAAAACTAGGACCACTGTATCCTGTCTTAATAGATAAAGTGTTTGCCAGTAAGACTCGTGGGCTGTGTGTGGGGACTTCTCTGTCACAAATGCTACAGGAAACCAAATGCCACTAACCAGGAATACTGTGTACAAGACAACATTACCTCGGCTTAGCACTGTTCAGCCTAAATTAAGTTCTTCAGGGTTTTTGTTTTTCAGCTTTTTCAGCATAAATACAAAGCATGTGTTGGACACAGTGTTTATGGAGACTTTCTCTTGTATTACAATGTGAACTTCCTTCATGTTGTCTCCAGGGGGGTGTGATGGTGGCTTCAGCAGCACTGTGGTTAGCTGCACACCTTTGTGGCTCAGAGAAGCAGGGGCCTTCCTGCAAATGCTTTAAAGATCAGCAGATGAGGCAAAAAAAAAAACTCCAGGAAAATGGTTGGCTATCACACCAAGCCACAGGCCACGAAGGCCAAAGGGGACAACCAAATGGTGATGCAGCCAAGGTGCTCTCACTCCAAGGAGGACATCAGGCTGGGAGCAAAGATGCAGGATGAGCTGATTTCACTTTTCGCCTTTGCCAAGCCAGCTGCGTTCTGTGTGAGCCCAACAGGACTGCGGAAGTGCTGGGTCAGCAAGGCTGCCCACCTGGAACCTCAATGCAGCCAGGCCTGCACTCTGGTCATGGTGCTGGAAGGCCTTGTTCTTCTCTCATGGTCTACCCAGACTCCATCCTTGCACGTTGGCTGTACCCATCCTGTGTACTGACTCCTCCGGCCTGCTCTCCTGCTCCTGTTGTGCTTGGAGCACGCTGCAATGTGCCGCCTCACTTTTATATCCCTGTGACACCAATCCTGGCCTAATGTGCTTGTGGGTGCTCATTCACGCTGTATGATGTACGTATATCTCTGTTTTTCAGGACATTTGGTCAATTCTGCTAGCTCTGATAGGAGTCAGGGTAATTACCTACTTATTAGCACGCATTCAAGAACAGATTTCATAGGGGGAGCATATTTAATACTGTATATACGAAAGAGTTCATAACAGAAGAAAATGGTACAAAGATGTGTGGAGTTCAGGACTAAGAGCTCAAACCAAGTGTGATTTTTTTTTTTTTTTCATGCAGGCCACTCTTTGCTGCTTTGCTGTAAATGCTGTACTTGAATGTTTCAAGTGTGTGAGTTGCTTGTCACAATAGGAGCACCACAGCAGCTGCACTTACTTGGTTACCTCTTAAAGGTTGAATAAAGGGTGGATAATGCATTAAAGCAAGCAGGAATATATGCAACTTCTACCACTTGTATAGGAGACTTTAGCTCTGCATGTCCAAAGTGATACTGGAAATCATCAATTAAAAGCTAAATAAAATTAATGTATTTTACTGCTATTGCTTACCTGGGCTGCTTGTGCTGTGAAGCTCAACCACCAACAGCTGTAGCCTGTTTCAACAGTTCAAAGCCTTTCTTCTCATTGCCTTATTATTGTTATTATTTTTTATTTAAACAGAGGTCTTAATAAAAGGTCAAAGAACCAAAGGGGTGAGGAACTTGCCATAAGCTCTGGAAATCTGTGCGCTAGAGTAGCTGCCTTGTAACATCCCATACTGGTGCAAAGGAATGGGTTTCAGCTGGTGGGATCCAGCACTTTCTCTCTGGAGTCCATCTCCACTTGCAGACCCTGCAAGGCTGGAGCCCTTGAGAAATTTGGAAGTCTCAGTGGCCTTTCACTTTCAGCTTTAAGTCCTGTTGTTTTTAAAAGCTCCTACCTCCAAAGGACATTATAAAGCCAAAGTGCACCAAGGGCAGGAAAAGAAAAACAAGTCATGATCTCACATGTTAAATTGTAGTGTGCTGCACATAGAGAAGAAGTACAGCATCAGCCTGGTCACAAAACGAAGCGTGGATTTCAGAAGGACTGTATTAATACAGCATAAAAGTTCAATATCTTAACAAAAAGAAATGCAAGTTGGAAGGGAAAAAAAAATAAAAGTCATGGAACAAGTTTCTTACTGCCATTATCATCTTGTGTAAACCATCATAAAAAACATTTGAGGAGGTGTTAAGTATTCATGTTATAAAAGACTGCAAATACCTTCCTCCTTAATTCAGACGTATCTATTATTAATTGAGGGTTCATCAGCTGGATGGTGCCTGGAACGCTATGATTTATCTTCCCTCCTTCCGTGAGTTTCCTAATGCATTGTGCCAACTGTGGCTCAAAAATGGATTGAGGTACTTCAGTTCCTCGGCCTTTTGTAGCAGCAAATGCCTGTGGGAAAGGTTTCTAATCGTTAGTGTGCAGCTGTAGATGAACACAGAATTAGTATGAGCTTACATCATACACTGTATTTAATGTACACTAAAAAGCCAGCTTGCACTTACTATGTGATTAAATATGTGTAGTTATCTACTGCATGTATTAACAGCTTATGTCAATAAATCATGCTACCTTCGTTCTGGCATTTGCTTGATTTTGCTTATATCTGGCTTTCAAAACACAGCTTGCAGGTGCCTAGCTGTGTGCAAGCTGGGGCTGTGTGTACTGAGAACTGATGTCATCCTGAGCATGGGGAGAACAAAGCAAAGTCCCAGCACGTGCTCCTTCATGGATAATATCCAATGCATGTGGAAGGCATGAGCCTGGAGATGGGGAGCTAGGCTAAAGTGCACTACAGAAGCACAGTCCTGGAAATCACATTAGTAGCTGCTTCCCTCTCCCCTGCAACCCACGTCTTGGAGCTTAAAAAGCATTGAGTCACAGCTCCATCCTTCCAGCACTCTTAATCAGCCCTGGTAGTGTCCTGTGCGGCTGACAGAGGGTCCTTGTCAGATGGTGGGTTCCAGTGGTTCTGCTGCTGGCACGCACAGGCTATGAGAGACATTGAAAACAGGGTTACCCATTGCTCTCTGTGGGCTTGCTCCGTGCTGGGACTTTCGGAGCAGTACAGCTTCTGGCGTGAAATACTGTGGGATTACAGCATCTAAATAAAGCCACGGATCTGTACCTGCTCTGCCCAGGGATGAGCAGGCTTTGCTTTGGACTGCCTGTCACTGAGCTGCTGCTGGGCTGACCTACAGACGTCCAGTATTTAATCCTCCGTTCTGTGTGCAGAGGGGGCTTGGCTGAGGGTTGCCCAGGACAAAGAGCAGTGGGCAGCAACACCTGGAGCAGTAGCTGCAAGCCCGGCTTATGGCTGGCTGGTTGTCATAATTCGGCTTCCTGGCAGCCTGATGAAGCTTCATTAGGCTCCTGAGGCACAGTGGGAAACAGGTGCCATGTGGCGAGTGCCATGGTGAAGGAACTTTGGATAAATGTCCAAGGGCTGCCCCTGCATTTTGTAACTGTAACATCCACGTTGGAGTCAGGGCTACAAGCAGGCAGCCACAGGCAGCAACCCCAAGAGGCAGAGGGGCTCCAGCTGAGGAGAAAGGAGCTGAAAACCCCTGCTAAGTGCAAGGCTGCCTTGGTTTAAGTGTGGGCTGAGGGCTTGGTAGAGCAAAGCCCAGAGCTCCTCAGGGAAAAGGCTAGCCAGTCCCAGGTGTCACAAGGCAGCTAGCAGTACATCGACAGTAGGGTTTCAGCAGTGCCATACAGTGTGGTGACATTGAATTCTCCTCCCTGCCTGGCACATCCATGCCCAAGTTTCACAGCAGAACAACCTGTACTGCACAGCATAGGCACACGAGGGCTGAAAACATTGTGATTTTTATCATACAAAGAGCCCATGTGTAACATCAACACTTCAGAGTGGAAGGCACTCCCACTGCCTACAGTTCAGCTGGACATGGGCACTGAGGCTAAAGGACAATGTGCCCAACCGCTCTCATTTATGCAGATGATCAGCTCTATGTGACATTTATGTAGGGACGTGAACCATGGCAGTTCATCAGACTGTCCCTTGGTGTCAAGAAACTGAATTCCAAGGCAAAAGCCTCTTAGTGCAGGACACACTCACCAGCTGGTCAGGGAATATACAAAAATGACTTGATTTCCTAACGCTTAAGGCTCAAGAAAATGGAAGTTTATATTTAATTACCTTTTCAGAGGAGGGCCTACCTTTCAGAAGGAGCAGTAGCTTGGATGTGCCAGCTTCAAGTAGATCAGTGTAAGAAAACAACACACCAGATGGAGAAGCTTTTTGGCTGGCTGAGAAGAAGCTGTCCCAGATTCTTCACAACAGCCAGGGTTGTCCCCATCTTTCACCATGGGGCTGTTTGGAGACTCCTGCCCAAGGTGACCAATAAAGCATGAAGTGGGCAAACCCAGCAGTGGCTATTTACACATCAACAGCATTATGTCTGTTTAAGGAGAGAGAACATGAATCTTCAAAAGATTAAGCATTGAATTAAATTGAGGAAAATCAGTAGTGAAATGGCAGGAGTCAATAGGTGATTGGAAGCTCAGCTGTCCCCAAGGAAGGGGACAAGGCCCCTTACCACCCTGCCGCATGAACGTTTTGTTGCCCACACAAAGCCTTCCGTTCTGTAGCTCTGGGCAACGTACTCATCACACAGTGTGGGATGCAGCGTGTTGGCCAGCACTGAATCCCTGAGCTGAGGTTCGAGTTTCAGGTGGTGCTGAAGGCACAGGGCTCCCTCGCGCCTGGTACCAGCTGCCAAGCAAGAAAGCAAGTGGAAAAGTGTGACCTATAGGAAACTATGAGAGGCACGCCTGTCTCTGTAGGCTACAGATGAGCTGACGATACCAATGCTGGAAACAGATGCTAAATTAATTGGAAATCATTTTGGCAGAAAGCCATTACTGGAGCAGGAGCCTTGGTACAGAGACAAATTGATGCAAAATGTGTTTTTGAGTCTCAGACCTATTTGGGTTTGAGAAAACAGTGAGTGGGTCTCTTTTTGGCATAGCTGCAGGAACGTGCACAATTCATCTTTCAGAAAGCAGTAAAATCCATGCTCACATGCTGTGCGACAACAACAAGCAGGTCTGCTTGGGACCCAGCAGAGTGTCAGGTCATGACTCCTTGACTGCATGTCTTGTTGGCTGATGGCTCTGGAAGGATGCAAGGATCACCAATTTCAGCTCCTCCTGCTGCAGGCAAAGTATTGGTATCAATGGTCACCCCTTGCTCTAGTGGTGGTTAAATAGCGAATGATCTTTGGAAGAATTTTACCAAACCTTGAAACCAGAAATGGCAAATATGGGCTAGTAGAAGGTGAAGGTTAGGGGGGTGCAAAAATGCAATGAAACCTGGAAAAGCCTTTTTCCCTAATGTGCAAAGTCAGGGGTCGAGCCTGTGCTGCCATAGAACAGCTTGGGTAGGAAGGGATATTAAAGCCTGCTCAGTTCCAACCCCTGCTAGGGGCAGGGCTGCCACTCACCAGCTCAGGCTGCCAAGGGCCCCATCCAACCTGGCCTTGAGTGCCCTCAGGGATAGGACATCCACAGCTTCTCTGGCCACTGTTCCACCACAGACAGAAAAGGAAAGCTGGAAGCTTTCTAAGGCTGATGGATTTTTTCCCCCCTTGTCAACACACAAGAAACTCAAATCTGTTCTAGACCAAAAAGAAAAGGAATAAATGTTTGTTAATTAATGTTTAAAAATGTAAAAAAAGTAAAAAATGTTTGTAAATTCCTGTAGGGACAGGAATTTAACAGGCCTTCTGTCAAGATATATTTGGGTCAATGTACTGACATATAAGAAAAAATACACAGTAACTTTGTTGACTAAACTTCTAAACAGACACACACAGGCCTTGTTTCACTAATGACTGGAATAAAACTTTCCTCCTTGGGGCTCTGATTCAGAGAACAGCTTTGTGCAAACACACTGAACTTGTATAGAAAACCTGTGCTCTGTCGTGATTGATTGTATCACAGCATTACAGACCCTCATGCTGCATTTCAGCAGCTCTGCCTTGCCTGTGGGCCAACATGATTGCATGTCAGTCCCACACTTCTCCACTGCAGTGGGGTTTCCACAAAAGAAAACAACTTGAAGTTTCACACTGCCTGCACTGGTCACAACTTCAGTGCTGTGAGCTTGCATTGCTGTTCTTTCCTCAAATTCAGATAGCTTTTTACTGTTTTTCTCTCTGGTAAGAGACTATTCCACTATCTTCTGGTCACTGCTGATATGTCTTCTTTAAGCTTCCTATTTAAACAGCAGCCCCTGTGTGTTCCTACAAGTCCAATACATTCAGCACACCACCACTTCATATTTGGAGCCACAGATCTGGATTCCTGCAGAGACAAGAAAGCCCATGACCTTTACTTATGAACATGACAAATTCTGTCAAAGCTTTAGCTGGAGCTCTTTCTGCAGCTCATATGGGAGCTCATATGCCTGTAGTGGCAACAGATTTGCTTACTTTAACCAAAAGAAATTGTGGAGAAATGCTTGCCCGTGAGCTTTTTGTGCATGTGATTTCCATTCACTCACAAGTGCACTGATGCTGGACAGACAGGGCTACGGAAAGACAATCAGATGTGACAGATCTGCTCTTGTGTCCTCTCTGTTCATACAGAGAGAGAAAAGGGAATGAAAGAAACAAGTTACATATCTACAGTACATAAAAGGCCCTTGTCATCTCAAGATGACCCCAGAATTTTGAAAACCTTGAGGTATTCCTACAGAACAAATTCAAGTCCAGGCAGAAGGTCATCCTTACCTCTAGTTGTTACACACATATCCTCTGATGGTGCCAGGCTGGTTTCTTAACCACAGCCTTCAGCTATTTACATTAGCCAAGGACCCACAGCTGTATTGCCGATGCAGCTTTTATTCTCGTAATCAAAACAGGCTCCATGTGTGTGAACATTCTTCATACAAAGATACATACAGGCAGTTTCTATCAACCAGAAACACACTCTTTTTGACTGTTCACACAGTATCTAGAACAGATGCAGTCCTGAAGAGCACTTTAGGCCCTCTGTTGTAATAAAAAAAAACAAATCCATGCAAGGAAGAAGTGAGATTTTAAAACATGCTTATTTAAAATAAGTTTATTACAATGAAATAATAAAAAAGTCTGGCAGAAGTCTTAACAATACTCAAAAAAACAAAAAAAAACAAAAACCAGATGCTGTATCATGTGAGAGATGACGCAGATTGGAAACTCCAAAATTTCAAGATTGAACTGCTTATGACAGCACAATCTGTGCAATGCTTACGCTGGTGGAGGTGATTTCTGGGGCATGAACAAGCCCTTAGAATTAAACTGTGAGGCAATATACCTTCTCTTCATCTTATATCTCAATAAGGCTCACTGTAAGCTCAGCTTATCATTAATAAAATGAATGCCCAAAACTGGATTGAAAGATGCAAGAAAATAGAAATGGAAACCACAAAAGCAAGCTGCTTTGGTTTTCAGTTCAGTCACCATATTCCAGAATGCAATTCGTTTGTTTTGTTTCAAGTAGACAAAAATCACCAACTTTCAAGGTGGCTTTAAGTGAAGGAATCAAATAATATATTCGGGATCCCTAAAAGCTGCAGTGCACAATAAAGTAAACAAATGTGAAACTTCCTTGTTTCCATATCCTGATTCCTTCTCAATACAAAGTTAAAAAAAAGTCTTTAGACATCCAGAGTATGGGGGTGCACACACACAGAATACTATACCAAGAAAGGGATATTAACAAATGCCAGTGAAAGGCCACATTTTGAAGAAATGCGTGCCAATGTAAGAAGTCTGTCAGTGAAACATATGCCTGTGCTCAAACTTCAAAGCAAGTGCTTAAATCCTTGTGTGAACTGAGTAGGATGAGCTCCTGAATGGGTTTGCAGAGTGCGTGCTCTGGTCTCCCCACTGCACATGGGTGATTTCATACCAGAGCATGCAGGACATCAAAGTGTGCAGGGTTTGCTCACAAAGGGGTTACTGAAGGCAGCAAAAAGGTAGGAATTCAGTCATGAGTTCCCCCCTCCTCTCTGTTTTGTTATCGGTACTATGCACACAAAGAGAGGAGAAATAAGCCCATTAAAAGTACAAAACCCCATGCTTTCACTCCTAAGAGGTAGAGCTGCCAATTTTGAAATGTCCTGATTTAAATTCAATCAATGAAATCGGCATGGTTGTCCTAGCAGAGTATCTCAAACCAGGGCAAAGCTTCAAAGAAAAGCAGCACATTCTCCATCCAACTCTGTCCTTGCCACAAAACTCAGATCTGCTTTTCAGTTTCCCATTTAACAACTTATAAAACCTCCTACTTCACACTGCTATGGAGATGCTTTGGCTGGACGGCAACAGCTCTGACAACAAAGAAGGTGACAAATGGGAGGAAGGGAAGGAGTGGGAAACAAGTGGGGAAGAGGAAAGATAGAAAGGTGGGAGTGTGCTAATGATCTTTTTTGGTATCTAAAATTTAGGGGTCTTTAAAGCTTTTCACAAAAGCTGAATCAATGATAAAAAGAGATGGTGAGAGGCTCCAGTATAAGCACACAGGTAATACCATTCTCTATAGGCCATGTCTCTTTGCCAAAGCACATCACAAACAACTGGAGCACATTTTGGGCATACTTCTATGTGGGCAGCCGAGCAAGTGACAATGTTCAATCTGTGATACATTTTTAAAGCAAATGACTGCAACCTAAATCCTGATGATGCTTTACAAAAGGCTTGTCGGTGGTCTGCAGTCCTTAGCTTTAAGCGGATTTGTTGAAGGGAGACTCCTATTACAACAGTATCAAGACAAAATGTGTCAATGAGACCTTAGCGATAAAGCACTTGAGTATGCAATTCAGACTCCACAACTGTAATGTCACAGAACTTCAGTATGCAACTGAGTGCGGTGTCTTAAAATAGCAGAGGGGGCTCCAAAACACAGTTTGCTTTAAAAAGAAATACGTAATAAATACAATAAATAAAAGCCTGCCAGTGCCACGCAGAACTCGACTGAAACCACTTAGGAGCTCTGCTCTAATGCCAACAGCACTGTATTACAAAGATGTGTGTAGGATCTCTACTAAAATATGCTGACAGCCATTATACAGCACTAGATAGCACTTTTTTTTCAGATTGCTTTGGGATTTACCATGTCTCAGCAAGGATGTGCGCTGGACAGGCTTTGTCTGTGTCATGAGCTGTATCAGAGTTCTATACCCAGCTCAAAAAGCAGTCTGACTCTCCTAGGGTAAGGCTGTGATTACTCTTATTTTGCCATGGCTAAGTAATATCCCTGAGAATATGCAACTGTTGGACACTGAAGAAAACAGCTGAAAACACTTGTAAAGGACACAAAAACTTCAGACTAGTGCAGTTTAAGAAATTAAAGCAGTTCATGTAGAGTATACAGAGCAAGGGTGCTGTTATCTGAGTCACAAAGACTGCTATCTGTATACAGGTCAGTTTTTTATAAATGTCAGCCACTAAACAAAGACAAGGAAACCCAACCCATCATCACTAATCAACGAGCCAAATAAATCAAGCAAAAACCACCTACCTCTTCTCCATTTCTAAATTTGAGGGCCAAAGTTAGTTGCTTGTCTTCTACAATTGCTAAGAACCATCTTCTATGCTTGCCAGAAAAGAAATTGTCATCTAGCTGTGTATTTGTTTATGTGTAATGATCTGGTCTACTGCATCCTTAGAGGTATAACTTGGAGTTCAGCTGTGCAACATGCTGCAGCATTTCTCAGTGGTAGTTTGAAAAGATAGCATCCTTAAGTCTTAAAAGCACTCAACATCCTGCAAGAACAGTGCAAGAAGCAGCACAGGTTTTGAAAGCAAGGTGACCTTGCTCAATTCCATCTCTAAAAGTCCCCTATTTAACAACTCGGACACTGGCATCTCCTGAAACCACCATCTTCACAGAATGTTCCCAAGCATCAATTCCACAGTTTAGAAAGACCAACTTTACACAGAAGAGCAAGACAAGAAAGCCTGCTCTGAGGGTGGATGCCATGCTAATTACACAATATGCACTGCAGATCACTTCCTATTTGTTGGAAGAAAGAAGAACTGTAAAAGTTGGTAATTGCTGAAGCTAGTGGCCCAGTGAAGCTGTTCAGTTCCTTGCTTAAGAAATAAACCTTCTTTACTTCTAGTATCAAATACTTGGCTTGGCAAGCTACTAACAAGCCAGCGGTTCTCTCACTAGCTGAAAAAACAAAACAGAACAAATGAAACAAAAGCAAAAAATGCCCAAGCCTTTAAGTGCTAGATCTGTTTTGCTGCTACTGAAAAAGCTTACGGTTAAAAAAAGAGAAGTCAATTTTCATCATGATTTCACTATCAATTTTTAGAGAAGACTGATCTCTTCCTGCCCTCCCCACACACTCCTGCTATTCTGTGGCAATGTGGTCTCCATTACCTAATCACAGCATTAAGACCTGTTACAGAAAAGTTTCCCACATAATAGTGGAAAAGATTGAGGAAACCACAGGGGATGGAGAGCTGGTTGTTCTGCTGGTTTTGTTTGTTTGTTTGTTTTTGTTTTTTTTTGCATTCACACTTTGAAGAAGCAGACAGTCATATCTCAAAGGCTCTCTGCTTCATTTTTAGCACTGCAAGTACTGAAATAATTGAATTGAGCTTTGGTCAAAAGTTTTGACTTCATATTCAAACAAACAAGAAAACTCCAAGAACTAAAGACCCTATATCCTTCTGATTCTATCCTGGTGCACGTAGGGAGTATAGATAGTCACAGTTCAGAAAAGATGACAGGAACAAGAAAGTCATACTACTTAAATGCCCATTTACAGTTCTAGTATCTTGCTTTACTCATCAAATGTGTCATTTGGTGTTTTCTTCACTCACCATATACTTTTCTTAAAGCCTCCAGTGCTAGGCTCCTGAGAAAAGATCAAGTATTACGTATGCAGAGACTGCTTTCTCAGAATGATGCAGCAGGCCTGCAGTACATTCATTTTAGTCAGAATGTGCTTTTTAGCCTAGCAAAAGCCAGTATTTATCCTGTGAGTAAGGTGATGACAAATTGTACGAGGATTTACCAAAGTTTAGGAACCTCATGAGCATTAGTGTTATTTGCCCATGAGTTACACTCAGCTTTTTGGACAAAACTATCCAAAGCCATCCAAAGCCCTTTGTCACTACTGAGAAACCCACTTATACCTTGAATTGGCAGTAAGTAACTCAGTGTTCTAATCTTCAACACAAGCAAGAATTTTGTCCTTACTCATTTATGTATAACAAACTATCTAGAAGGATTTCTTTATCACTTCTAACAGCAACTAGGTGCACTTTTTTATCTGTAAAGGAAGAAAAGTGCAAATTTTACCTTCTTACTTCCTAGCCACTTCTGCATAATTTTAGATTTTAAAGTCTGCAAATGGCATAATGTACAACAACTTGGTGATAAATTCTAGCTTCCCCTAGGCTTTGCTATTTCATGCTCACTTTCAATAATATAGGGCAGAGGGAACAATAGTGGTACCAGTGCAGACAGAATGGCACTCCATGCTCACAGCCTTCCCTTCTCTTGTCATGCACACACTTTTCCTTCCTGCACCACAATATATGTTGCAGCACGCTCATCTCAAGCAATACGGGCAGGAGCATCTTGCTGTGGAGGGCACTAAGGAAAATTTCCTTTAGATTTGGCTCACTGTCAGGAGCCAGAAGGGAAAATGTGGTACAAACAAGTAGCTGGGACAGAACACAATGGCTAGTTTCCTATACTGGTTCCCTGTGGAAGCTCAGATCACCAGCTACATGTGCTCATGGTGAAGATCTCTAACACTTTTAGAGATGCTGCACTAACAAAACAAACCAAAAAAAAAGCAACAAAAAAACCCCAAACATAACAAAACAAAAAAAACAATTAAAAAAAAGATTCAACCCAAAATAAGGTAAAAACTCACTGCATACCTGTTAAGCTGGCATTTAACCACCCTCTCTTCTGCTACAATAAGGTTCACTAGAGTGGGCAGAACAGGGCAGGAGAGAGTCCGAGCCAGCAGTGCCTGCTTGGTTCCATGTGGATATCATGACAGCTCTGCTGCATGCGCAGCTCCCACACAAAGTGTGGAAGCAAAGGGCAAATTCTGCTCCATTACTTTTACAAGGTGAAGGGGACAGGGAGTGAGGCAAGTGAGGAACAGTCCAAAACATTCATTACAGACATAGTTATAGCCCAAAAAGAAACTGTACCTCTGCATTTAAACACAAAACAAGCACAACAAGAAATAAAAAACATACATACCCTTCCCCCCAAACACTCACACCTCTCCCACCTGAAAAGCTACAGTGAACAGAAAAGATATTCAAAAAAATCTTTGTTAACAGACACAGTCCCTGAAGTTTTAAGATGCTGTCTTACTGTAGTCATACCACCTCATCTGACTCCAAACCATGTACTTCATAGAGAGTGTCCAAGATATTTAGCTGCTTTTCCATGGCTGGTAAGTAAATGTTGAGGTCCCTCTGCATTGCTTTGTAAAATGTTTCCTCCTGAGGATCACAGTCTTCTACAGACAGAGCTGCTACGAAGTCTTCGTACGTTGGAGCTGCCCTTAAAGCTAACTGGGAAAGGAAACAAAGCTTTTAGATTTACCAAACAGAACAGGAAAATAAACCCAAGTGAAACTGTGACACCTAGATTGCCTAGATTTAATACACTGACACATATATGCATATGTTAAGTCTATTAATTGATAAAAGAGACTAAACTGTTTATTATCTCTGTGTAGATCCTCATTTTAAGAAATCCTCAGAGGTGCCAGATTTATAGGAAGTGTCAGTTTATCATATTTTGTACAAACAAAGAACATCAGAAGTTACTTAAACAGAAAATCCAACTAAGTCTAGATTGTTAGGGAAGCTCCCAACCCGCTTCAGCACTGAAGTCCCATTCTCAAAATGCTTTTTAGAAAACTCTCCTCACTATTCCTGTTTCTCCCAATCCCAGTTGTGATCAGCTGGCTGCGGCATTCCTTTTTCTTTTTATAGTCTCACTAATAATTTCCAGAGAAAGACACAAGGGGGAGCTGGTAGACCGGACAAAAAATAAACTACTGGAGCCTACACATTCAACTCTGCCACACTGCATCAGCCCTTCTCAAATGCTCATACACAAAGAAAGATGAATTCTCAAACAAGCAATCTCAAAAGTTCGCCTATTTTAACAGGCCTGCAAAACTGAAGTGCAAAACACACTATAAAAAACAATATACATGCAAAAATAATCCATTTCAGGTCCAGAAAACAGGTTCTATCCTGAAAGCTCAGCGCTAAATACCTTGATAGCTACAGTGTGCACTCTGAGAATAAGATTCTAAGAAAGGAATCTACTTATTTTAATGTTTCAATTTTTAATACCACATTAATTAAAAATAATAGAAGCTCTCAATAACAAGACCCTCAAGTTTAACAGTAGCTAAGAGAAGCACTTACCGCAAACACCCCACGGACAACCCAACCATGGTGCTGCCGTAATGTCTTTCCATAAGCATTGTCTTAAAGTAAACCAAACAAAACAAGATACATGTAGGGCATTTAGTTTTGCATCACCAAAGGATATTGCAGCTTAGGAACAACTAGTCAAGGATATATTATTGCTACCTGATGCAAATGATTGCTTTAAGCATTAAAGTTATGACTCAAAGAAAGGAAAAAAGGAGAGACAGATCAGGATTCTGCGCTGGGGTCTCAGCTCAGCTGTCAGTCTCCTATAATGGCAAGTTAGTGTTCCAGCAGACAGGAAGGCAAAGGCAATTACTTGATTAGCTGTGCTTCTGACTAACTTTTCCTCTATTATCTAGTTCTTAGTTCAGTGCAAGTCTGAGAAAATATTACATGGGATGGAACTATACTGTGAGCAGATCATTAGCCAACTTCAGCCTACATGGTTAACTCAGATATTGAACGAGAACTTTCTCTTTACATTTGAGAGCCAAGTTTAAGAACCTTCGAAACAGAAAGCAGAGTCTTAAAAAAAACAAAACACACAAACTCCATGCCTCTCTTGTGAGTGCTCCCAAGTGTAGCCTTGGATGAAGATCCTAATGTTCCTAGATAGCTCCACTTTCATATATAAAATATTTTATATACAAAATGAACACCTTTGAGCCTCATTTTCCAAGTTTGTTACTGTCAATGTTCAATATTCTTGGCTTTCACTTTAATTTTTAAGTATCTGGTGTTGTTACAGATTCCCTGAGCTGCATCAAGAAAATATCTCTTTTGCTGCATCTGGATCTTTGCTCAGAGAACTGCAGACAGTTATTCTTGAAGAGCATATAAAATCAGTAAAAGCTAGCCACAGTATCTGCTTCAATATGAAATACTCCACAGCTACCAGTCTAATGACTGGCAAATATATCCTTTTTATCTTTACAGTAAGAGATGTATGTGGAAGGTATACAGCAGTAAGAGCAAAGAAATAAGGGGGAAGTAAGTACTGTGTAGCAAATAGTATTGACAAGTCAATTCTCGGCCTTAACAACAAGTATAGAGGCAAACTTCTCAAGGAACTGAAGAAATAGAACAACAACTGTGAATTTGGGAATGCTCTCGCTGCATATCAGCGGAGAAAATGGGTTGAGACAAAGAACTTCTCTCCTAAGATATGTCTGCTCCCTTGCCAGAAGTATTCCTATTAAGCAAACATTTATGTGGCACTAAATCATTATTTAGCAATCTGCTTGATGATTGCCACTTTCAAAAACCAGACATTTTCAGAAAAAGTTGTGTCTTGGAGGTTATTCATATTATTAATCACCAAAGAAAAGAAAACACATTCAAAACAAGAAGGAAAATAGTTATGTAAATTCACAAGCACATGAAGAATAAAGCAACTGGTACTTACTCAGAGCTGTTTGGATATTCTTTTCTCCATTCTTCACTTCTGTCAAAAACCCTTTCAAGAACTTTAAGCCTCTTCCAGAATGAAACAACAAAACAAACAGAAATCATATTTATAACAAAGTCCCACAGAGTTCGGTACAGTTCTGGAGGTTTTGTAATGTCAGTATACAGTCAATTTCTCATTTCCACATATCAGAGGGATATTCTGGAGCCAACTCAACACCCATTGCTTACAAAACTCAAGAATTACAGAATCATTTTCAATCTGAACAAAAAAATGTAGCCACATCCTCCAACCTCACTTCCAGCTTAAGGAAAAAAAATACTGCTGAAACATTTGTGCTGAAGACTGAAATGATCTGCATGATGTACTGTCCCAGCAGGAACAGTCATTCCCTATAACTTGTTCTGTTGTTTGTTTGGTTTTTTTAATAGAAAAAAAGACTGTCTGTGAGTACTTTCTCAGGTCTTTTGGTAAAGTTGCTGCGACACAACTACAGATAATACATTAATCTTGAGCTTAGTCAATTTAGATGGAGCCTGTGAAAGTAACTAGTTTGTCCCATACACATAAGCTTGTGCTGACCCTTTGTTGCACTTGATCGTTTAGAGTTGAAATAGTTATAGAACTGTTACCTTTTCAGCCATAGGAGTGCCTCTGTAGCAGAATTTCTAACTTGAGCTACACCTGCACTGACTTCATGCAGTACTATCTTCTGCAGGGTATCAAACTCCTCTTTGTTGGTTATAAATTTCTGATTTATTTTCTGGAGGAAAGAAAAACAAGAGGCAAAGCTTTGTTTTTGAGATTAAACAACAACTTGTCCCATGCATGCCACTTATTTATCATAATTTTTTCCCACAGAGAGATATTACAGATCCCCCTCCACAATCAGTTCCATCCTCTTAGACTCATTACGTGTCATTTAGAGGCTGTACTGAGGGATGTGGTTTAGTGTGAAATACTGCTGATAGGTGGGCACTTGAGCTGGATGGTCTTAAAGGTCTTTTCCAACGTTGGAGATTCTGTGATTATGTGGTTGGGCAACTGACAGGCTTATGTCATGCATTCCCCATGGCTGCACACAGCTCCATATACACCTGGCTAGTCATGAGGGGCCACAGATTTGCTGGATCAGCCTTGCACCACAGCACTGCCTGGTTCTACCTGCACCAGGACTTGGCTACTGTGATCCCACCACAAAACGCAAACGAAAGCAAGTGGCTCAGTCAAGGATCTGCTTTTTTTTTTTTTTTTAACTGCATTCTTCCAGTGTTTGTTATCATACACTCAGGAGATATGCTTTGCTTTTTTTGTTTTCAGCCTTGAAAGAAAAGCTATGAAGAGTCTCACTGTGAATACATCTTATCTCACAAGTGGCAAACCTTTTCAGACTTAGAGCTGAAAGAACTTTCAGGAGAATCTAAGTTGAAGGATTTGTTCCCAATTTGCAGCTGCTGAGAAACTGGTTCTTAGTGAGCTAATTTGCTCCTTCTTGGGTGAGGAAAGGTGTTTATGTCCTGTTTGACCAGCAGTCTAAAGTTAATATTGATATCACCACATTATAACTTATGATCTTTTCAGTGCAGAATCAAAGTCATATAAATTATGTAATAGACTTTTTACTTGGCAGTCAATTAAGTATTTTTCAAGTTTGCTCATACACAACAGTTGGATTTACTAAATACATGACATCTGTAAGAACAGAATTAGAAATATTTCAGCAGATAGCAAAATTATCAAATGTTGTAAAGCCTTCCAGAATTGACTACTATGACAAAAATTCTTGGGGTCTGGTAGCTAAGGCAGATATTTTGTTTAAAAGGCAGCGTTTAAAAATCAAGTTACCTTGATGTTACCTACAAAATCCATTTTAACAGGAGCAAAAACAGTTGGTCCCAACTTGTCTAGAAGAAAAAAAGGGATACATACTTTAAAATTATTACTCTTTTCAGTCTTCATGTCCTAGTAACAATTTTATTTACTGTCTTAACAATATCTCTAAAAAGCAGGAGAAGCTAGAACAACAACATAAAGTGAAGTCTTTCTTTGGTGCAGAACAAATCTGTATTGGCTGGAACAAATGTTAAAATACGCAGACTTCCAAATGCTAAGTCCTCAAGATGCACACTTAAAAGGACCTTATACCCACTGTTAGATTTAGGGACAACGGAGGTGAAGGACTGCACCAACTGGAAACAGAAGTTATTTGGGGCACGGGGGAGAATCAAAGAGTGACAATAGATAGTACAGCTGATGGTACAGCAGACAGCTGTACTGGATGCATAAGGAATTACGTGCTGTTCTTTTGAGGAGAAAAAAAAAATTACTGTTCCAGACATAGCCATGGATTTCCAGACAGCTTATACACAGGTCCTATCTAAATGAGAGAGGATCCTCTATAAAGAGCAAGAATGAGAAACATCTCCTAGTACCAGTCACATTAATTCTGCTGGCAGGAACTACTTACATTACCTTAATTCAGGGAACTAAACAATTTGCCAGAACAACTGATCCACCTTTTCTCCCAGCTGGTGGCAGATAAAAGGACTCGGAGGCACCACAGCACGAAAAGAAGCTGCTTACCCAGAACGGGCACAATTGCATAACATGACTCCAGAAACTCTTCTGTCGGTATGCCCTCTTCCTCCTGAAGTTCAATATCACTGAACCTGGTATCCAAGACAAGCAGAAAAAATTGTTACTTTAACAATGCCTTTTCTGTAACTACTAAAAACCAGAGCTGTTTCATGCTTACTTAATTTGAACAGAATTAAAATTTATACAGATTAAACCACCAGCATAGCTTTTGTTTTAATAATTTAATGACTGCAGAAAATACACATCTGGTGGCATGTGAAGCATGTAATTACAAACAAGGGAAAAACCCTCCCACTCCTCTCTGTACAACTGATTTTACAAAGGGCATCTTCATCCATTTCTGTGCTTTATGCATTCTTGTTACATATTATTTCAGCAAATTAAGCTTTGCAGACAGAACAGACTTGAAAATGAGTCAATTAAAGGCTTAAAAAGTTTTATCATCTTCATGATTTAAATCTGCAACATGTACTACCTATTGCTCATGACACTGAAGAAAGTAGGAAACCCGTTTTCATTCTCATTTTCCTCACACAGAGTCAATCCACTTAAAGAATTTGTTTCTGATTGCAGCAACTTCTGGGCATCAAGGCTTTCTACAGCTTGCAGCTTGTTCTCTCCATCTTCCTTCAGGCCTTAAAATTCAAAGGAAACAAAAGAATAAATAAATAGAAAAAGAAAAGCCACATACCCATACTATTACTATTATTCCTCAAGATGTGTCCTATTTGAAGGCAGGTATTAGGATAACTGATCATGTAAGTTTTCTCTGCCAGCACCATGACACCACACTTCTACTGCTCTCAGCTATACTAAGACAACATTTAGACCAGTCTCCTTCCCACTATTTTTAATCAGCCAAACCAAGTACCAGGCTGCAATGTCACCAAACTCATGCATCCTCAACAAGGACAGCCTTAAGTAGAGAAGAGCTTTGAAAAAGCTGTTATATGCAGGTCAGTACAGATTGATCTGTTTGAAGGAAAATAGTTCTCACCCAGCTGTAGCTTCCCCAGTATTGGTAAGCAGCACTGCCCATTTTCAGAAGCTGACTTGTTTGCTTTTCTTGGTAAGTAAAGTGCCTGTTTAGGTGGGTAGTGCTATGATATTAAAGGTTGCTGCATTCTCATGATTTGAAATAATAACCTTCAAGTTTCCCAGAAAAAGATCCTGTTCTCTTTTCCCCCAGTGCAGTTAGTTTTATTTCTCCTCTAGGGACAAGTACATCTGCTTAATGCGGAGGACTACAAAATCACTTCCAAAGCCAAACTTATCTAAGTTTTATATACCCAAAGAAAGGTCACATCCATGCATGGCAAGACCTCCTGACCTCATAGGAAACTGCAGGCCAAAGCACATCCTACTGCCACACCATTAAATAAACATCCAGAATTTCTCAGGGAACTTCTCTCTCCAGAAAAGGAATACTTGCCAATGCCACTGAAGATTTATAGACCCGAAGTGAAATTGAACTTCTGGCAGAAAAGATTCAGCTGCAACAAACTTTCTTCCTCTGAAAGCAATTTTGCAGCAATCCCAATCATTTGCAGATCCACTAAATAAGCCTGGAATGTGTGCTGGGTGAAAAGAACCATTCACATCTGGTAACAGCAGCAGCAATGAGACTTCACCCATGATCCCCAGGGCAAAAACAAACAAACAAACAAAAAAAAAATACAACAAACCAACACCACAAAAAAAACCCAGAGAAAAATGGCCTCAGCCATCACTATATCCCTGCCTTGTTTCCAAGCAAATAAACGCTGTAAGGAAACGGTAAGGAACAAGAGTTTGAAGGATGTCACTGATTTGTCCTGCAAAAAGACAGAGGACTCAGAGAGTAAAGAAACAGCCCATGTCCACTGTGAGTGCCATGCATCAAGACCAGGGACTTCTGAAATATTTAATTCAAATAGTAAACCCTAAGTGACAATAGAGCAAAAGCTCTGAGATGAAGATATGTTAAAGTACTTCAAACCTATAGAGAAATCAAATCCACTGAAAAGATTTTAATAGGTTTGATTTCAGGACAGCTGGGAAAAATACTGGGGGTAAACACCTCTTGTCAGGCCAGGAAGTCTAAGAGGTGCTTTTAACATACTCTGTTGGAAGGAAAAAAGCTTTAGTTTTCCATAAATATTTGTCAGAACAATCATGAGCAACTACAAGGTCAACCACTCTGACACAGGCACCTAAAACTTCAACGTTCCTTTCTGACACTGCAACCCTATATACTAGCAGAGGTGCTGATCTTCCCAGCAGAGAGCCTCTGGGAATTAAATACTTGTTCACAGATCAAGAAGATCCCATGCTCTGCCAGAACATATCGGTGCACATGTCTATCAGCATCTAGAGAAGCCTGCACCTGTCCAAAGGAAAAAGAACATCTTATTTGTTCCCCATTCAGTCCTAAGACCAACAAGGGAAAGAACTAAGCTGAGAAGACTTGACAACGGGCAGGTATCAGACTGAACTACACTGACATTCCCTTTCCCAGGAAGCAAAACATCAGCAGCACTCTCACAGGCAGCCTACAGAGTCCTCCACTTACACTACAAGAATGATGATGCTGGGTAAAGATGGTACTCAGACTTACCTGCCGAATCTTCTGCAATATGATCCTCAACAGAAACAACACTGCTCCCCTCATTTGTTTCCAAGTTTAAACACGCTAGACTTTTTATAAAGGTTTGCTCTTGCTGGTTAATTTCTGCTTTCACAGAGCCGTTTTCACAGGGGTTCAATTCCATCTGTCTGAAGAAAGTGAAGGCATGATGGTTAGTATGAAACAGTACTTCTTCCTGAGAAAGCACACAAATAACAAATAACAATACAGGAAAAACAGTTGTCACAAATTACATGCTGTCACAGACTGCTCTGAGAAAAATAACTTCTCTACAATAACAAAAGGAACAAGGCCACTTATCCACAGCAAGTATGATATATATGTCAGTTTTCAGAATATCAAATGTACTGACAATAATCTATTAAAAAGAGATGCAATCAAAGAAGTTCAACTGATTACAAAAAAATGGAAATCACGGGAGGTATTGTAACCAAAAATCATCCCTGCATTAGTGCTTTTAAATACTATGCATATAATATATATAGACACTTCTTGCCATTTCATAATATTTCTTGCCATAAATAATATAGCTTGCTCTCCATCAATGATTTAATGAGCTTATGCAGTGGAACCTAAGATGTAGGGAAGAGCATCGAGGTAAAAAGAGATGGCTGGTGACTGACCAGGAAGTCACATGGTGGATGGCTGGGGAGGAGAAAAATAAAGGGGAAAAGGCTGAGAAAGAAAAGATATGAAGTGGGAAGAGCTAGCTCCTTTTCATTGCATCTGTTCCCAAGTATATGGCTCAGAGCAATATAATTCTACCTGTACTCGCTACTGGTAATATCAGAGAAAAATATGGAAAGAACAGACACTATCAGAAACAGATTAGAAAAAGATTTATAGTAAAGATTTATTATACCTTTCTGTTGAGGTGTGACTGGACAAGACTGAGTGTTTTATCTGTAAGATAAGAGGGGGTGGGTGGGGAGACACTATCTATAATAAGACTGTATTGTGTTTCAAAACTTTGCATTTTAACAAATCCAAACTGCAGTCAGCAGAAAAGCTAGGCATAGACCCAAAAACAATATACAGAGAAATACGAAAAATATGACAACATTATTATAGAAAAAAAAAAAATTACTTATTTCAGAAGCTAGCTACCTAGCAAGTACCAAGTGAGATGCCATATAGCACATGTACAAAACTAGGGCAAAGTGTTTTCCTTGCAGTGATATTTTTTTTACTTAAAAAAAAAAACAAAAACTGAAAAACCAGGATGAGAAACATGGAGCCAGGCACCAGATAGAGCGGAGTGGATTCACTTCTCAGGTGCAGTGAAATATCTACATTTCTACGTACACCTTAACCAGCTGTTTGCCAGAGATGCTTCAATTTTACACCTGTAGCTATGGATTTGAGATTAAAGAAAGTCTGTAAGAAGATAAGCTCATCAGCCCCTGGTGGCACATTAAGACAGATGTGATGTTAGTAACTCAGGAATATTAATTGCTGTGATCTCCTACAATGGACCACCCTGGGCACACAGTCAGGATTTTTTACACGCCTGCAGCTGGATCAGGCCCTGAAAGTTAATGGTTAATAGCTTCTACCTATAATTAAGAGTTAAGAGATTGGCCACCAAAAAAAATAAATAAATAAAATAAAATAAAATAAAAAATTCATTATCTGCTTCCACAAATGCTACCTTAAGAAACGGCGCCTTCCACACCAAGACTGATAGAAAAGGGTACTGGTCCCTACCCTGTTTGTTCTGAGAACTGCTAAATGTGGGGATCCTGGAGGGGTCTGATGTAATAACTCAGAAGTAAAGGCAGTATTTGCAATCTGCATACATTCTTCAAGAGTCTTCAGGAAGGTGTCACATGTTGATTTCAACAGAGCTCCCACATCAATCCCACTCTGTAGGAATAAACCAATTGGAACACACAGACACACCACAGAAGATCAGCTTGGATCAACTAACATCTACAAATCCCATAACTGCTACAGACATGATTGTTGCTTGACAAAGCTGTTGTTTGACAAAGTGTCAGCTGCTGAGAGAACTGGCATCCCATATTACTGGGCCTATGCCCCTTTATAGCATTGCTGCTTTCGTCAGTTTTTCTCTACAACAAGCAGAGTAGATTTGTATTATAATATATATATGTATGTATATTTTATATATATATATAATATATGCCTTTTAAATTACACATCTCTGATGTTAAAAATACATTAACTGTAAGCTTTGCTGTATTCAATAGCGGTACTCCAGTGGTATCACTGACAAGGGAAATGAAAGTAAACAAACGAGACAGAATAATCTGAAGATAACTTTTGAAGTAACTTCAAAAATCCCACAAGCAAAAAAAAAAAAACTTACACAGAATGAAGTAACACATTGCCAACAACAATACAGTATTACTTCATTTAAACAAGAACTGTTGCGTGGGTATGCAACTTCCCACAGGTCCTCAGCAGAAAGTGCAACAGTAAGTGTGAACAAATACTGCACTGGCTAACCAGAAGAGTTCAGAAAGCTTAAGTCTTTATTGAAGAGGTCTACACCAAAAATAGAGCTGTACCTCTGGTTCTGATACAGCAGAAATGCTGGCTTCCTTAGTTTTATGCACTTGCTGAACAAGAAGGTTACAGTATAGTCTAAGTTCAGACATTTTAGTCTTCAAGGCTTCTGTGTTTTCAGTGAACTCTAAAAATGAAAAAAATAGCAATGTTGAATTCAGTGCATCCATCTTGCAGTATGTGATTTTGTAAAGCTGCTGAGACATTACTATCCAATCTAATTCAATGAATACTACTGTGTTTCAAAGCATTTTCTATAAATTCAAAAAGATGAGCAAGGTTGGCCAAAGATTACACTTGTGACAGGTAAATACGTTTCACTATTTGCTGCCATAGGCTCAGAATGTTCCTAGGCTTACAGCACAGAAAAAAACAAAGAAACAAGTAGACAACATTTGACCTCAAAGGACCTTATGAATAAGACAAAATCCCTACATACTGTATTTTTGTTTGCCTGTTTTCACTAAGTAGCAAACAATTACACTGTGTTAAAGAACTGGGATTCTACCTTATGAGCAGAAAACGCTGGAGGGAAAAGACATTTACTTTCAAGTACAAAACTTAATGTATATCTTTGAGTCATAGAACGGTTGAGGCTAGAAGAGATCAGCAAGTCTGACTCTTCTGTTTAAAGGAGGGACAGCTAGAGCAGGTTGCTCAGGATCAAGTCCAGACAGATCTTGAATACTGCCAATGCTGGACTCCACAACCTCTCTGTGCCACCTGTTCCAGTGCTCCACCACCCTTAAATAAAGACATTTTGTCTTGTATTAATGGCATTTTGTGTACTCTTCTTGTACTCATGGAAGCCATCAGTACAGTTTTCAAAATATTTATACACAGCATGTCTTAAGGAGAAGTATTCAAATCCCTGCAGTGAGAGTTAATGCCTGACATCGCTATCTAGAGCTCCCACATCTTGGTGTTTATCAGCACCAAAGGCCTGAAGCACAGGTTGGACACAGAGATCAAGTACTGATTTTGTCATCTTTGTGTTTCATCTACTAGGGGTCGGGGAAATAAAATGCAAACGTGTGACAGCAAAAGGGATTTCTTGCCTTTTTCCTTTTGTGTCCTGCTGTCTGTCAGACAGGCTTTGGCAGTTCCTAGCGCAACCAGCCACTTTTGCCTCTCAACTGCATTTCTTGCTTTCAGATAGAAGTACTGTTCCCCTGGGATGATCAGGTCCATTCGTGTGTTATCTGCAGGATGAACTAGAAGCAACACAGATTTCAGGCCAGCTCCTCCACCCTTCCCAGCCCAACTGAATATCTCAGCAGATACACTAGCCTCAAAACTCCCCCACTGCCATTTTGTTACTTCTGAGCGAGGGAATAGACAGGACACGTATACAGCTGTGGGACAAAAGGCTATGAAAAACAGCTTCACAATCAGTACAGTAGCATTCAGGAGCTGTGCCTCCCATGGCAAGTAAACCCCTTTGAGAGAGCAGTATCAAAGTTTATTACTCATAATTTTAGTTTTAACACTTTGTGCATAGGAAGAGTCACTTGAAGCTCTGTGTTCTTCCACTATGGCTCATGAAAGAACAGCGACACACCTCCATGTAGAATACCCACCGGATGAGACTTGCAGCTCTTCTAACATTTTCAAAATACTACCTTGTACATAAATCAAGTTCCTTATTTACTAGAAATACATAGCATCAAGATAAGAGCACAAACAGCTCTCGTGACCCGAAATTTCACCTAAAATGCAATATATGCTTATTAGCCAAACCTTGTGCAATTGCATCACTGCATCTGACTTACCTTGAATTTCACACACAGCCATTTGGATGCTTCCTTTGCAACCCTTCCAGGCATCTTCCTGAGAATCATAGTAGGACAAGATACCACCACAGAGAAGAAACCAACGAGGCTGCCAGCCTAAGAGACAAAATTGCATTTCTCCGTTACTGCATCCCCTGCAGTTCCACCACCTCTCTAATTCAAGACTTGCTGCAAATAAGGCCCCAAAGATTCTCGGTTCCCCCAGGAAAAATAAATCATTCCAATAGGTAAGATTGTGACAGGTCTGGATGTTGTACTCTACAACCACTGCTTGCCAGCAATTGCACATCCTTCCTGCAGGCAGATGGACTTGAAGGCTGTCAGCTACACTCCGGAGGTATATTCCTGAGATGCCACATGTCATTTTCAGTAGTTATACTAGCAAGGTATAACGGACTCTTTCTCTCCTTATAGCACCTTCTCAGAACACCATCTTCAGTTTCATCCACTGCTTCTCAATCCACCCCTTCATTCTCTCCAGAAGTCAGCACAACTGTCTTGCCTTATGTACCTACCTTCCTTCAGAAAGGCCCATTCCAACTACCTTCAGAAACAAAAGGCAAGAAGATCTTATATCAAGGGAAAGAGGGGGAATACGCTGATTTCTGAAAGTTGTCTTTTAACAAAGCTTTTCTCAATAGCTCGTGAAACTCCCATGCTGTCCCTATAAAAAGTAGCCTGTAATTAATAACTTGCACTTCTGGACCCATTCCAGGAAAACAATGAAAATACCAGGCTAGACCAAAACAAAATGTTTTGAGCATTGCTTTTGTCCACCCTGCTGCCCAACTTCAGAACTAAACTATCCCTTCTGTTTTCTTCTTTTGGAAGCACTTCTTAGTATGAAAGGATACAAATAAACAAGACTGAGTAGCCACCATTTATTTCTAATTAAAAACTAAAAGCTCATTAAGCTAAGAAGTAAGACAGCAACGTCACTGGAGCAAATCAGCTTTCATTCCTGAGCTGCAACATGCTTCTCTGGACAGGGCCGGAGCTGAGATACCCATATTCCACACTGGGTCAGCAATCTTACAGGAAAAAAACATGGCCATGATGCATGCAGCACCCCAAGAACCTGAGCACATCTCTTTGGAGGAGTGACTGCTCTTAATCAGCTGGCTTTAAGCCAGTGCTGTAGCCAAGCATTACTCGGTTCACCCCTAGAAAGCCCTACAGCCCCAGACAAACAGTAGGAGATGGGTTTTGTTTTGTGTATAAGCAGTACCACAGCACGAAGGACAGCCTGGTCTACACATTACCAAACCTTTGGGGAAATGAGAAAACAAATTAAACATAAAGCCTTCTTCATATTCTTCTAGAGCTCCTCCACTGCTTTCTAGAAGAATATAAAAGTGTTGTAAATGCCAAAGCATTCTCAAAGGTTCTTTATTTTGCTTGAATGGCAAAAACTACAAAGATTGAAACTTCTAAAGGAAGAAAAAAAAAGAAAAAAAGAGAACAAGTTTGGTTCTTATTAGTCTTGTCACCAAAACACAGTAAGTATCCTAAAATCATTATTTGTATGGAGGAGCTCACAAAAAAAGGAGATGATTGTTGAGGAGAGAGAAGCAGTTCATTGCTTCAGACACTTGATGGCACAGATTCAATCCCTTAAATAACACAGTGTCACAGTCAATACAGGCCTCTAATTCAGTCTGGAGATCCAGCTGGTGCACGCAAACTATTTCAGCTTTGCTCATGCAGCTGATGCTCTACTAAATTGCATCTCATCAATCAAAGGCTAAGCTATCAATTAGCCAACATGCAAAGCACTCTGCCCCTGTCATTTCAGATGTTGGTTAAAAATGTCATGAGTCAATACATTTTGTGGAGGCTTTTGTTTGTTTGGGGTTCATCTGCAGTATCAGCAATTATCTGTCTTGCTTTGCAGAACCTAAGTCTTCTTTATTAAGAAGGCATTAAAAGTACAGAGATAGACAACTGTTAACTTGAACAGCATATATTTTCTGAACACAATCATCACTACTCTAATAAAAATGCATTTTAGTAAAAGTAAACAATTAAAAAAAAACCCCAATCACAGCAGGATTCTGTCAGAAGATGCAGTAACCACCTGGTTCTCAATGCCACAGGAAGGTTATCCTAAACAACCAGCTAAAAATAGTGCGTGGCTGACAAATCCCGGACAGTGCAACAGGGTTACAATCTTCAATTACAGGCACTTCACATTCACAGACAAACAAAGAGCAGAGAAAGAAAACAATGAAGAGAAAGCAGCAAAAAGATACTTTGATAAGCACAAATCCTGGCTTTATTTGGTTTTATTCTCTACCCATAAACTCCAGTAGGAAGACTGCAACAGCTGGAACGCAGGCTTCATCTGAGATAGAAAGCTAAAGCCAAACCTCTGGCGAGAGCACTGACACAACAGCAGCATTTACTGAGTCCATTCATATTGCTGGTGTACAGGCACGACTAAACGTAGCACCTGCTTCCACAGCTTGTCTTAGAGGCACAGAGCCATTAACAATAAACACCCAACAGACACTGGTTACTGGTCCTAATAAATACAGCACTTCTTTGTGAAACTTGAAGTTAATACCTGCAGAGCCTGGAAGACCAAATATTGTCCAGCACAGAAACAAACATTTAAGCAGTTTCCACAGTCTGAGAGATCTGCCTACTTCCATCACTACCCTTCAGGAAGTCTGGATGTGGCTGTTGCTGAGTAAACTTGACATTTCTTGATAACACTGCTGAAATTTGGACATAATTCAAATTTTAATGTTACACAATTCAGACTCCAGAAAGCTCTGGTTGCAAAGTACCAAGCCTGGAGAAACAAAAAAACAAAAAAACTCCACATTTGAAGACATGTAGATCATGTCAGACATCCATAACGCCAAACCATCTGGGAGAATTACAAACTCAAGAAGTCAAACTGATGACCTGGAAAACAAGCTGCAATTAAGAGATGCCAGTTCCAGTTGCATTTCTAAAAGGCACAAAGGCAAGACACCTAGGCTTTTATTACTACTTGCTTCCCAGGAGAATTTTCTAAAACTTTATGCTTACTAATTTCTTGAGCTTCAACATAAGTCTTTAGAAAAACATATACAATAAATAAATAATCCTTGGATTTCTTGGACCTGAATTCAGATTTTAAATGTGGATAGGAGATAACTACGAACCTTCCACATTACAGCAACATCCACCTAACAGGAGCCTACACACCCCCATCCCCACTGCTAATATCCCAGCAACATGACTCTGTGGCAGGCCTTTGCACTTCTTCTTTGCAAAGTCACGAGAGACATCTCACAGCAAGTGCAAGCAACATCCATCTCTTCGTCCCACCATGGGTAGGGTAAGCAGTGTTCAACATACTTCCACCCATCATTTTATCTCCCAGCACCCAAGGTATCATGTCCATGACTGATAGCCTGATGAGAGCTGCTGGAAAAGTTCAAACAAGCCCAAGGCAGTGCTGTTAGCTTGCAAAACCTAAGTGAAATGCTAAGTTGCCAGTGCTAATGTAAGCCTATGAATGTAATATAAAATTTGGATCTTTGCTAAACCCAGCTTGCCCCTCGTTGTTCAGATAGTAGCTATTACCCAGAATACACCATCTTCTTATCATGTAACAGTTACTTGCAAAATGCCTGCCTTCCAATGATGAAGAAAACTAGGTTTTCCAGTAAAAGGATGCATCTTCAATGGTCACAACACAGGACCGAGTCAAGAGATCTTATTTCCAGCTGCCTGACACCTTGCTGAGCTGCCCCAGGCTGTGCTGATAAACTTCCTCCTCCACTGAGCTCCCTGCACTTCCTCAGCTGCACAACACAAATAACACAAATACTCCATGTCAGCCCACAAGCAACCCTATTGATTTTAACACACTAATATCTGAAGGACATGGCATGGATTTTTCTGTCAAAGAAAGGCAATAAAAATCTCCATGCTGCAAAATGACAAAATGTTTTCAAAACCCAAACTTGTTTGCAATCTCAAATATTAGGAGCATACATGGTAAATCTTAAAGTTCTGATCTTAAGAATTAATTTCTTTTACCTCTTATGAGATTAAATTCAGTTCTCATGTCCAAATATTTAATGTTATCACTCAGAAACAGTATTCAGAGGAAGAGCATTTTGCATAGACAAAGCTTGAAAGTTTCCCTTTTCCCCTGCAGAAACAATGCAGGAATGGGCTATCCTGACAGAAGTAATGTGCACCAGAACTGCTGCATTTCCAAACCACCTTCCAAAGCTATGAAAGGATTTTGTGAAGGTGCAACCTGAGGCATCGGAATGCATTTTGCAACCTTAACTCTGTAGTGAAACAATTTGCCAAGATAAAAATCCACTCATGAGGGACAGCAGAAATGCTACAAATGAACGGGTCACGATTCATACAACAACCTTTGAGTTGTTTTCCTCTCACCTAGAGAGCAGCTGCCAGGAATGCCTGCAGACTACTTTACTAGGGAGGATGTGCATGGTAACAAAAGGTAGCCATAACAGTAGCCTCTAAAAGCCTTGAAATTAACAGACATAGCACTTGAACCATTGTATCACTTTTTGTCATGAATTCATCACTCTTTTGAGGGAGAAAAGTGGTGCAAGTGAAGCACACAGCAGCTAGAACTGGCTTAAATACTCTTTCCCAAATGTTTTTTCTCCTAGAAGTCTCACAAAATCCAGCCCCATTCCAAATATAACTGTTAGCACAATACTTGCAGCACTGGAAAAGCAACCTGCTATCACAGAGCAACTGTCTGTGTGTTTGCAAATGAGCTCTACAGCCGTGGCCAGCTATCCTTAAGAGGAATGGAGAGCATCATCCCAGTAACCAGGCATTTTAAAAAGAGATGGTGAAAGGACAAAGGGCAGAGAAGGGATTGATTGCTGACAGTGATGGAAGCAAAAGTGCAGCAAATCAGCTCACTGCTCAGACACACTAATTTGAGTCTTCTAAGCAACAAAACATTCACCTATCAAAATTCCCCTCCTCGGTTCGCACTTCCCCAGCTTCTGTCTGTGACCTGCGCTGTGGTTAACCTGCTAACCGCAGTCAACACAATGACTTTACCAGAACACACAAGACAATCTCTACCGTCATTCTGCCCCACCTTCTGCTTGTGTTCCCTGTGATCGCTTATTTCCGTGTAGAAGGGCAGAATGAAGAGGCACCGGTACTGCAGCATACCTGCTGGGAAGCGCTGTGCTGCTCTGCAGCTCCCTCACCTACAGAGGAGAGAGGGGACACTGCCGGCCTTTCCTGCAGCCTCATCCAACTTCTTTGCTGCAAAGCACGGCGCTCATTTCCAAAAAGGTATGACAGAAGCAAGACTGCTGTGTGAAAGAAAAGCAGGGGAGTGAGGGAGGTGTGCTTGCAGAGAATGGATGGGAAAGGTCAAATCACACAAACAATTACACAAAATGCAAAGACTAACAGCTAGTCTGACAGCAGAAGGTCAGTAATGCTGGTCAGACCATTGCCCTTCTCATTTTATGCAGTCACAAGCTGGACTATAACCAGAGCCAAAAAGAGGGAGAAATGTGATAAACAAAAGCTTTTGGGAACCAAATGTTTACTTAATGTGCAGTTTTCAATTACTTCCTCCATCTAAGAAATAGAGGACTTTACTTCTCAGAGCTTCATATCGAATAGATGTGTACATATCCCCCATCCTGAAAGGTCAGATTTCTTGAACTCTGAAATCAAAAACTCATTCTAAGCAACAGCATCCAAATATCCGCAGATCTATGTATCCATAGCTACAAACATTTGAAAGAGGGTCAGTTTTCTTTAAAGTTTCCCCTCAAGTTGTTTAAGGAAGTCTGAATCATTAGAGACATGAGTAACTTCAGGCTCTACATGAAGCCTAAAATCTACTGCTTGGTACTGGCTCTTGGCATCTTGGAACAAACTGCAAAGAATTCAGAGTGTAATAATAAAATTACAGGGAACAAACCATAAAGGCAGATGAGAGGAGCCAGCTGTGGCATGTGGTGCGATGCAGCATCACGAGCAATGGCATGAATGTGAGGTGCCTTAGGGAAGATGAACTTGGTAGGGTTAGAGTTACTCAGCAAAGGGAATATTTAAACACCAGGAAAAGGTTAGAAAAAATAAAACCAATCAAAGCCACTTCCCTAAGCACATAAAGAATGCTAGGCAAATCAGTAGAGGCAGTCAGCATTTTTCTTTCTAATGACTAAGCTGCCTTTGATCCACAAGCCAAGACCTGATACATCCCATCCCTTCCAGAGTCAGCCTCAGTCCTGCCTGGGGCCAGTTAACCCAGGTAAAGCATGCCTTATGCTGAAGATCTGAACTTAATTCAATTTCAGAAGTAAAACTGTAGAAAAATCAATCAGAGTGCCAAGCTGATACACACATAACTGAAAGAAAGTATTCCTTGTCTCCACCCTATTTCCCTTTGGATAATAATAGCTTGCTCATTCTATAAACCTTGTGAGAAATCAAAATCCCAGCTTATTTTTACAAGGCAATCTCCGAAGAGTAAAGAAATTTATTTTATTAATCACAGAGTGTGATAAACAAGAAGTGTGACTTGCAGCCTGAGTTCAGCAGAAGCATCACATGGAGGCAGCTTCCAAGCAGAAGTGAGCAGCTTGTGTGTGCAATCCATCTCTGCTCTCTACTTTTCTTTGTTCTGCAATCAGCATCCCCCCTGTTTGGGAACAGTCACATTACAGCACCGCAGCCAAAAGTCTGCTTTGACACTGTACATGCCAGAGAGCTCTCAGCTGGCCTGGGCGGCAGGGCAGCAGCACAATAGACCAAAGAGGCATAGGGAAGGTACAGGGTGATGCTCTTAGCACTCAGACTGCTGGCTACAATAGGCCTCACAACTTTCACCAAGCAATGCTTAAATACAGTTTTGGTGAAGGATGAAATGTAGGAATTTTTAAGATCAAATTGCATGCTCTGATCACAGACTTGGCTGAGGCTATCTAACTTGCATGCCTCCAAGATTTAAGATAACCAGAGTTTACGGATTTGTAATTGGAAGCTTGCTGATGCATCGTATTTGCCAAGTGAAAAAGTTCTACCACATTTAATACTTCAGCAACGATTCTTACAAAGGGCCCCATTCTCTTTAATCTGCTTCAGAGGATGAGACACAGAAAAGAGTATCTGATCCCTACTCTAGGGAATGTGCTTTAGCAGTGGGGTTGGACCGGATGTCTCTGGTCTCCCAGTCTCTGCAACTCTGTAACTCCATGAAAGTTTACATGACCATAAAAAAAATAGTAGTAATAATGACATAAAGAGAAACCACTGTCTGGTGACCATTGTATTGGGGATAAAACAACTGAGTTCTAAAGCCCAAACTCTCTACACTCGGATTTCATGGGCAGCTTGGAGGACCTGTGTGTAGAAATCACAACACAAACTGAGGCTTAACACCAGAGGAAAACCTATCTCCAAGCAGAAATCAATCAACACTAATACACATCATCCTAATCTATAATAAAGCAAACAAATGTATTTATTGTGAAACGAGGTAACTTGTTTGAGCAGTAAGGAAAGTTCATCTGTGTTTCAGTTGGCAATCCAAACATTCCAACCTTTGCCCATGGTAAATCCAATCCATTTCCTACTTCTGAAACGTTCTTGCTATCAAGTAAACATGTAGGTCATAACAAAGATGTAGCTTCCTGCCCCAGGGCTGTGGGGAAATACACCACTGTATTTTTTTCTGCATGATCGCATAAAGTTATAACCCAGTGGCCTCAGGGCAGAAAACATATGCCTAAAGAAAGCACATGCAACATTGCTAGTTTGCAGAACAGCCAATTTACTGTTCTCAAACACAACACAGACAGCCCTTCCAACAACCTGGGAAAAGACAGGGTAACCTTGGCCACTATGTTCACGAGCAGAAACAAGAAATAAGAAAGATACTTCAATCATCCATTACATGGTTTCTCCCTGTGAAGAAGAAAGCTTATCTAGCTTTCACTTGTGGCAAACCTCATGCACCCAGATAAATCAGATTATTTCGCCCTGCATTAATTCAGATTGACATTTGTACAGCGTCATCCTTCTTCATAAGGGTCGATTGAAAGGGAATCACGGAATCATTAAAGTTGGAAAAGACCTCTAAGGTCCAAGCACCGACCCACTCCCTTCATGCCCACTGATCACATCCCTCAGTGCCACATCCACGCTGTCCTAGAACACCTCCAGAGACGGTGACTGCACCACCTCCCCGGGCAGCCTGTGCCACTTTGCAACTCTTCTGGAGAAGAGTTTTTTTCCTAACGTCAGCGTGGTTACCAAAAGATAAAGCGCTGACGGAGACGGACCATTTCTAGCAGAGCAGCTGCTGAGCCCGCCACAGCCGCGAGCCCGGAGGTGCCAAAGGCGCTCGCTCAGCTGCAGCGGCACGGGGGACACGGAGCTCAGAGCTCACGGCATGAAAGCAAGCGTGAGGCTGCAAAATACGCCCCAGCACCTACGTGAAAAGGGCGAAAACAAACAGACACAACTTTAGATCAAACGGACACAGGACTTGATTTCTTACCGGCGATGGGGAAATGACTAATAACACTGCAACCCGCACGGAAAGCCGAGAACGGCTGCTCCCGCCGCACAGATATCACAACATAAGGGTATTTACTAACGAAGAAACCCACGCCTGGTGCCTCACTGTCTGATTCCCCTCAGAGCCCCGGAGGCGTGAAGGGGAAGAGCGGCAGGAATGCCCCAGCACATTCGACCCCGCCGCCTGGCTCGCGCTCGCCGCCCGGCCGCACCTCGCTCAGCCCTAGCTGGGATCGCCAGCGCCCTCCCACCCGCACAGCAAGGCGCGGCTGACACGGTGCCTCCCCAGAGGACCAGACCCCGCCGCTGGCGAGGGACAGCGACTCACCGCTCAGGTAGTTGGTCCACTTGTACAGCACGCCCTCCATGGCGACCGGGCCCCCGCCCCCATGCAGCGCGGCCGGCCCCCGGCGCGCTCACGCCGTTCGCCGCTGTCTCCCGCCGCCGCTTCTGCCGGCACCCAGGGCCATAGCGGGGCGCCGCCCGCCCTGCGCGGCCCGGCCCCCGCCGCCGTGCCGGCCCTCTGCCACGCTTCTGGCGCAGGGTGCGCCCAAAGAACCATCCCTCAGCGCTACGGTTGCGTAAAACATTTCAAGAATCGCAACTCCGCCTGACGAGCACGCGAAAGGGGGAGGGAACGGGCGCAGCACGCCCGAAGCAGGTGGCCTCCCGCAGCCTATAGGAACGCCTTCTTGGTGACGGCGCTGCCCAATCGGAGGCCGGCAGGAGCCGGCTCTATTGTGCGGACTCTCCGGCGCGCTAACGTTCGCTTCCTGGACCTCAGGTCCCGCCTCCTTCGCTTAGCGACCGTCTCGCAAAACGCCGCTTCCGATTGGGCAATCCGAGCCTCGGAAAAGGCAGCCAATGGGCCAACGCCTCTGCTTGAGCTGAACCAATCAGAGGACGTGGTTCCCCCTAGTCCCGGCCGGCACGAAGTCGAGGGCTGCCGGCCGTGAGGGCAGCTGCCACGTCTGCGGGTTGGCCGGGCCGAGGGGCCGCCGTGCTGCCAGCAGCTGGTGGGCCATGGTGGGCTCGCGGCGCTGAGGTGGGCGCTGGGTCTGGCGGCGGGGCGGGATGGCGGCGCTGCGGGCCGCCCTGCTGGGCGTCCTGCTGGGCTGCGCGGCCGCGGCCCTCATCCCCGCGGCCGACGTGAAGGTGGAGGTGCTGCAGAAGCCGTTCCTGTGCCACCGGAGGACCAAGTGGGGGGACATGATGCTGGTGCACTACGAGGGCTTCCTGCAGAGCGACGGCTCCATGTTCCACTCCACGTGAGTTTCCTGGGGCGCGGGGCCAGCTGTGTGGACAGGATGTATATATGTGTGCGTGTAAGTGTGTGGTGCAAGAGGATGAAACAAGCTAGACGAGAGCTTTGCTATCACCTCAGAGCTGGCAGCCAGGAAGCTTGCATCGCTGGCAGGCGCTGCTGCCTTTTAGATTCAGATGTGCTGTAAGTGGTGTTTCTTACCCGGCCCAGACACATCGCATTCTGAGGGCAACTACGATGCAAATACGAGGAGGAGCCTGTAAATCCCTTGCTAATGGTCCCTTTCCTGTGAAGCGATGGGGTGCTAACAATGGGAGACAGCGAGATGCTTACGAGGCCGCAGGCTGCACTGGAATCACTTGTGGAAGTCATTTTAAATAGCAGCCAAAACAGACAATGTTTTGCATGTTCACGGTCCTGCAGATGCAAATTAAAATCTCACTAATTTTCTCTTGTAGTTAACCCGCCTCTCTCAAAGGAGTTGTAGTGACGCTTTAAGTTTTTGCTGCTGACTAACTCCTGTAAGTGCTCTTATGTCGTGTTCGGCACCTTTCTTGCATGACTAGAAATGGAGCTTTGGGCTGTAGTTAAAATTCTGTGCCTGTCAATAGATTGGAAGTAGTTGTGTTGTACCACCTGGTTATATTTGAAAAGGGGGTCGTCTGCCTGTTTTAAGTGTTCTGCATGCATTTATTTCTCTTTTTCTAGGTATCTGTTGTGTAGTCGTTTTTTCTTCCGCTGGCTTTTTCAGAAGAGATGTGACTGACTCTTCTAAGCATGTTACAAGGTATACTGCAGTCATGGCCAAGCTGATTTGTGACTTGCGATTTACAAAGAGCTTACATAGCCTTGAGCATAACTTCCAAGCATAAATGCCTTTCTAGTTTGATCAGTTTCAAAGCAAAATAAATGATCAGGAAAGTGAAGATGAGGATCCAGGTTTCTCAGCGTTGTCATGAGTGCACCCTGTATGTGCTGTTTCATTCCTTTGCAGTTCTTAAGGCGCCTTGTCATGCAAGACATAACTTCTAAGGACTTTAAAAGTTTAGAACTTTCATTTGAGAAATACCAAGATACCATATAGGCTTTTATTTTTTTATTGCATAAGTGTGAGTGTTTTTGGTCTGTCCCATTTGCCTTTTATGGAACTTGCTGTTTAAAGATTGTGTTTTATTCCATTATTTTCCAGTCACAAACATAACAATGGGCAACCTATGTGGTTTACACTTGGCATAAGAGAAGCCATCAAAGGCTGGGACAAAGGTTTGAAGGACATGTGTGTGGGGGAGAAACGGAAGCTAACTATTCCACCAGCCCTTGCTTATGGAAAAGAAGGGAAAGGTAAAATGCCTGAACTCCTTCTCTTGCTTAAATTGCTTTTAATCTCTATTAATTTTACTGATTTTGACTGAAGAGGTTAGCAAGTTTTCCATGTTGATATCATTAATTAAGGGAAATTATTGGAGTGGGGTGCTGTTTCTCAAAAACTTGTTTTCTGCAGAAAATACTCATTAAGTGTCTTAAGTGGTGAATGCAGGAGAGGAATTCATGACAGCAGCTGTGCTGTACATTCTGAGTGTTACTTCTGTTAGTGCTGAGCTCAGCAGTGCTCTGCTTTATTATTTATTTTCAGTCAAGCTTGAAGTGGTTACTGTAGTTAACACTTTGGTTGTTACATCTGTGTTTGTGATAATAATTCCATGAATGTGCATGTGCAAGCCTTGTTCTTTTTTGTGGGTTTCTTCTAGGAAGCTGAAGAACCTCCAGTTCTGTTCATCCTCTTTATGTTCTTAAATGTTACAATGAAAACTCACCATTTATTTCTCCCTATAGGGGCACTTCATTCTTTATAACTTTGGGCAGCTGTGCCTGTTACCCAAAGTAAGATATGTGGGAACATTAACAAGGAAGCTGATATCTACCAAAAATGTACTGAATGATGTGCAGGCATATAAAAGCATGGCTTGTAATGTTTTCTCTCAACCTGTGTGCTGCTGGCAGTACTTTTCTCCCCTTTCAAACATTTTCAGACAAACCTTCTTTTAATGAGAAGGTCAAGACTGGAATGTGTGGTTAAATGAGTGACAGTTTAAATGATGCAGGAATGTTACTTTTTCTGCTTTATGCAGGGCACAGCTGTAAGTCTTTTTCTACAAAAAAAAAAAAAAAGAAACATTAAATGCTGTAGAGCTCACCTGGTAATTACAGGCCTAATTGCTTTGACTGAAGGCTAACTGTAGTGATTTACATATTAAAGGCTTGCAAGCCTCACTTATGTATTTAATGCAAGAAGGCTAAACTAGTAAACACTGGTAGCTGCTGTACTTTGGGAAAACACTGAAGTATTTGAATACATGAACCTTATGTTGCTGTGCTGTTGAAGAATTCTGTTTTCTTCATACTTTCCACTGAACACTCAGGAGTTCACTAGCTTCCCACCTGGTGCCTTTCTTGCTCTCTGCCCTGAATGATGAATCACATGCCTTATTCTGCAACCCTCAGGAAAAAAATTTACCTATGTTCCAAACCCCATGCAGGCCACCGTGGCCTATATTTCCAGAAGATTCTGTACATTTATTCATTCTGGAGATCTGTTAGCATGTTAAATATATTCTGAACTGCAGGAATAAACATCACAGCTTCCAAACTGTTAAGTGAGGATTAATTTTCTCCTTATTTCAAGGCATGCACGTATTTTTGGAGTGCCTCTATCCAATATAGAAATAGAGAGATTAAATAGGACCAAATGGCAGAGGAGCAAAGTTCAGAGCTAAATAGTCTTTGACAGTAGCATCAGCTATTAGGGTGAGGATGTATCATGCTATTGAAAAAGCCAGAGACTGATAAACTCTAGGGATGGTAATAATGAAATGTTCTCTGGCACTATCAGAAAATTATTAATGTATTGACTTGCATCAAAATGGAATGATGTTAATAACCTTATGATCAGGCTTATGTGCCCAGTTTCTGCTGTGTGTTTGGAAGTAGTTCAGTGCTTTTTGTGCTACAATTCAGAGACAGCCATAGGATACTAACAGCATTGCTGCCCTTCTGCTTTTCTTGTCAGGAAGTGCCAGGATACCACATACAGAGGTAGCATTCAGTCCACCTGATGCACTACTTGCCTTGCTGTCCATTGGTCTGAGCTGTGTACTGGAACAGTGGCCGCCTAACTTTATGGTCTACTTCACTGCTTTCTGCTCAGACTTGATCTGGCTCAAAAAGTGGTTCAAGAATCTTGTCTCATAAGTCTGTGATGACAGTTACTGAATAGGAGCTCACAAGAGTACACACTAGCTTTCAACGAAGCTGGTTGCGTCTGAACTTGCACACGTGTTGCAAGGGCTGCTCAGGATCTGAGCTACAATCTAAAATAGTTGCACTTAACACTGTTACAGATGCTTATTCATTTTGGCTCAAAATGCTGGTTGCATTGAAATAATGGGATTACTCTGAAGCATGTGGCTTTCATGGTGCACTAAACGTGTATCTTCCTAACTTCGTTCTGTGCAGGGAAAATTCCACCTGAGAGCACACTTATCTTCAATATTGACCTTCTAGAAATTAGGAATGGACCCAGGTCTCATGAGTCATTTCAAGAGATGGATCTTAATGATGACTGGAAGCTGTCCAAGCAAGAGGTGAGTGGGTTACTTTTCTTGCAAGCAAATTTAACAGAATTATGTAGTAAAAATGAAAAGATAAGGTAAAGCTTGGAAGCTTAGCTTTCAATAAAACTAAGCTGAAGATGCTCGGTTATGCTGTACCAAGCTGAGCCTTGGATCTTGAGCTGCTGAATTGAGGAGTCTACAAGTGGATTTTGCAAGCTGCAGCATAGCATGTGATGGAAGTGCACCCCATACTTATGGAAAACTTCATGAAGTAAAACATCTTAGAAATAAAACTTCAAGTTTTGGTTGTTTTTTTTTTGAGTTAGTTGCTGCTTTACTAATAAATTAGATCTTGAAGATCACCTACTGTAAAGCAGTCCTGTTTTGTAGCTTTTACTGCCTGAAGAACATTTATGGAGCACTATTCTGCATTATTCTTGTTGCCTTTTATTTTCAGGCTTCTGTTTTTACGCTGTGTGGATGCTATCCATGAGAAGTTAGGATAAACCACTAAGTTCATAGAATTACCAAGACTGGGAAGGATCTCCAAGGTCTTCTAGTCCAACTGTCCACCTACCACCAATATTTCTCCACTAAACCATGTCTCTAAGTACTATATCTAAAGATTTCTTGAGAACTTCCAGGGATAGTGACTTAACCACCTCCCTGGGCAGCCTGTTCCAGCATCATTTTTTATTTGGGGACTGGTTCAGTTTGTCAGTCCTTAGGAGGGTTATCTTTTTGTAATGCACAGCAGCTAGGCAGTGTCAGTGTTTCCAACATGCATATTAGAAACATGAGTAATGACCATAACACAGACTGGAATGTGAAATGAATAAAACAGACCTGAAGTGTGACCCATTTATCTTCCTGTTAACAGTCCACTCTTGCAGTTTCTGTTAAACAGGTTCTGTCTATTTAACAAAAGGATGTGTTGCTATTAATATTCTGGAGATGCATTGCTATTAATACTCTGATAGAAAGCTTTGTGATTCAGAACACTTAGGCTCTTGGTAGTTAAACTCAGTAAAAATTGCTTGCTGTTAGTAAATGGCTTGGTGTACGTAACTGTTCTAGCTCTCCATTCAAAAACTGCCTTGAATCTATTTGTCCTTCAGAGCCTTGAGATTTCTAGTAATACTGCTCTAATGGCAACACATTACAATGTAAATGTAAAGATTATGGATAGATTTCTGTATCATTTTGGGGTTGCTGTTTGGGTTTACATCTGCTAGTTTGACAAATTGCTAAGACATGAGAATGCTGTTTTAGTTCTGACCAATTGGTAGCTATAATTTCTGCCTACCCGTTCATACTTTACTATGTAGACATCAGATGACATACCTTCTTGGCACAGTTTTCAGTTGTACAATAAAACCATGGCAACTAGTTTGCTAGCTTTATTCTCTTTCACCACCAAGCGGGGCCAAAGAATCTAGTTAGACAAGTTTCCTTCTGTTGTGGTGTAGGAAGGAAGATAACTATTAATAGTTTAATACTACCATCCCAACTCTCTCTTACATTCCATTAATCAATTATCTTAAATATGAAGACATTAACTCTCATCTTTTATCTAATAGGTGAAAATTTACTTGAAGAAAGAATTTGAGAAGCATGGAGCAGTGGTAAATGACACCCAGCATGATGCTTTGGTTGAAGACATATTTGATAAAGAAGATGAAGACAGTGATGGGTTTATATCTGCAAGGGAATTCACATATAAGCATGATGAGCTGTAGGAAAGGATGACATAATTTTTTTGACACAAATGGCAATGACTTAGACTGTCTGGTTCTCTTGTCGTCTTGATTCTGTGTTTTGGAGTTGACAGCTGCCATTGGCAGAAGAGAAATGACAAAAAAACAAACCCACACTTTTTTATATTAAAAGAGAATTTCAGTTGTTTATGTTAAAAATATATATATATTTTAAACTATTTGTAAGATTGAAATTGTACTTACTGTTGTGCAATGAAGACTTGCACGTTTTGTTTTTTAATTTTGTATTAACTTATTTTTTTAGAAATGAAACAAGGTTTCCAGGTATCAAACATCTTGAAAATCAAAATCCAGTACTGTGCCTTTCTGTGCTTTATTTCTTCAGATCACATTCAGTGACTTTTACATATGACTTCTAGTCTGACTTAATCAATTATTTGACCTTCTTTTTTGTATGTTGCTGCTTGTAAAGCTGTGTGCTGGCATTGCTTGCTTTCTGCAGATTTTGAAATATCCACTAGAAAGCATCAACACCTTGTAAGACAGCTGAGAAACTCATACAAAGCAGAATGAGAAGAATGGCTGTCCTATGCTGATTCTGATTTTCTAAAAGAGAATACCAAAACAACTGTTTGCATCACTAAAGGAAAAAAACAAACAAACAGAAAAATAGGAGTTAAATATCAGACCTTCTCATTTTTATATTAGCAGTGTTCTAGAAGATAAGGTACTATTTTCCAAATAGTTTTGTTGTTCTGCAGAGGTAGCGTCCTTCACTTCCTTACATGCATTGGTTTGTGAAGAGATTGCATTTTCTTCACCTCAGGTGTTGAGAGACATCTAAAGAAAAAATTTAGCAAATTTTTTTTCCCCATTTTCAGAAAGGAAGGAAGGAGCATGCTAACATGCAGGTCAGTATGTCCTAAAGAACACTTTGTGTTACTTGCCAGCTTTGCTACTGCCTGAATTGTAGAATTTGTCTTATTTTTTTTGCACCTTTGCTGTATTTTCACAGGTAGCACAAAAGTTATCTGAGTCTTAAGTAATAAAGTGACTTTTAAAAAAAAAGAAAAAAGTGAGGTAAACATTCTGCTGCTGAATCTTTATGGTGTGGAGATGATGAGGATTTCAGCTCTGTCGTGTGTGTTTGAACCCTCTCTAAAGAGGAAGAAGCTTAGTCATCATCCATGGGCCTGAATGAGTGGGTGAGGTATCTCTTAGAAGGATTTAGCCTTTATTCTTCCAGCACTAAAATGGGTTTTTGTACAGAATACTTGGATTTAAAAATACTGCCATAGGTTTTGTAGGGATATGAGGTAAACCAAATTGTATAAAATCAGTATTGCTGTCATGTGCTAAGGAGGGGTGGGGGAACTTGGGGGGAGTTGCATTCAAGATCCTCAATTAGCTTGATGAAAATTCTCTCTGCAATCTAGCGTTGCATGTAAGTATTAGAAGACTGCTTTATTATAGACAGCAAGGATTTCTGTACAGTGATTGTGCTACGTGAAGATATGCAGGGGTGGAGTTTTTGCATTCCAGCATTTGGTATTTTATGGCATGTGGCTTACATGATGTGTAGTTTTCATATTTTGTTTTAAACAGCATTTTTTTTCCCCTCCTTCACAGTGTCTAGTTTTCTTGAACCTATTTATTCTTTAGTTCTGTGGCAGTCACAGTAGAATGGCATAGGATGCTACTTCCATTTGTTCTTATGCTTGTTGCCTGTCCTGGTTATTGTGAGGAAATAATTAACAAGTCATCTTACCAGTCATGAGTTTACATAAACTTTTTTTTTCCTTTTTGCTCTAGAAAATTTGTCTTGCCTGACATTGTTTGTGTGCTGAGCATCTTGATTTCTCCTACAGTCACCAGAGCACAAGGCACTTTAGAGTAATTCATCATATTTATATAGTTCACGTTCTGTTAGGGTAGATGCCTTATCAGTCAGAGGTGCCTATCTTCCCCCATTAGCTATGTGGGGAGCATAGACAATTCTTGCATCCAAGGCCAAGAATGTCTAATGGCTTATAAACTTGACCCTTGAGGCATTACTGCTTAAGATTCAGGATCTGGTTGGTAACAGCCAACCAAATAGAATTACAATGTGAATGCTGCTGGGAAGAGTAGAATTGAGACTTGGAATGGGTATATCAGGTTTTAAAATCATCTGCAGTATTTAGCATGCTCACTGAACATCTGGCTGGGAAATGAAAGCATAAAAGCATGAAATAAAACTTGACCCTGATTACTGGCCAAATACTTCAAATTTAAGCTTTTTTAATGGATACCAACCTACTTCTAAAGTGAAGGCCAAATGTTTTGCTTGTATTCAGTAGGAGTTTGGAGTCGGTGAATACTGTAAAATATGCATTATCTTCTGTTTAGATTTTGAAAATATTTCATAAAAATAACTTCAAGTAAACATACTGTAGACAATTAATGCCAGCAGAGTATTAAAGCTGCAAGGCCAAGATGATTTATTTGGTGTGCTGTGCATAGATTTACATGGAGTGAATTAGTTTTAATGCTTTTCTTGGTAGCTATGTTACATTTCTGAAATTGAACTTAAAAATTTTTTTAAAAGTGCAAAATCAGCAGATTTCAGAAGCTGCTGCAACCTCATTACCATTTGCTGTCATTCAAGTTCTTCTGTGAAAATGAAGAAATTTCTTAGGAAATAACTGCCTGTCTTACCCTCAGCTGTGTCTGGTTGTTAGTCCCTGGGGCGTGCTTCTGCAGTGTCAGCAGGAGCCAGCTAGCTTCTTACAGGGGAGCAGACATGAGCAGCTGCTCCTCCTCTGATGGGAGAAGAGGTATTGGAACTTCAGAGTAGCACTCAGCAACCGGCTTCTGTGCAAACTGCAAGCTCTGTTTCCATGAAGAAACAAACCTTTGCTGCTTGTCTGTAAGATGCTGCACTTGAAAAAGTGGAGATGGCTCAACGGTGTTGTGAGCATGTACTGGATTGTTCTTCTTGCAGCTTGTAGCCTTCTCCCCACATTTCTTGTTTTCTGGTTACAGATGAAAACACTTTTTTTTTTTTTTTTTTTACATACAGCAGTCTGTCATTCAGAGCTATGACCTAGCAATTACAATAAGAGTTGCTGTTTTGTGTACTTCAGAGCTCCTTTTATTTGAGAATCCTTGATAAGCGTTGCAGTGACACAAGAAGGCTTTTGGCAAAGCTTCAGGAACAGTGTTTACAATCTTAAGTGTTTTCTGAAGCTTTCTTCTCTGAAATCAACTGACACAGCAAATGGTGTTGAAGCTAAAGGAAATTGCTTTACTGGGTTTCAAGTCTTTGCTTTATAATATTTTACATCTGTGCTATCCACAATGTTTCTGGTATTGAGGTGTTTATGATGGGATCATAAAACTGCAGTGTGAAGTACGTATTGCACTGCTATGATAATGTATTGTTCATGATACTTAGGACAAAAATGATCTATGGCATGTTTGAGAATTCCACATAAAAATAGGTGTTACAGGTCAACCATTAAATTACAAGTGCCTTTGTCATATGTGCTCTCCAAACCACAGTCTCTGTTGCTGGAGAGTCTACCTCTTAATCTGGAGATCTCAGCCTGAAATGGCAGCTATCAGCAGAGTGGAGAGAGCTCACTGCTTTGGGATGTTTCTGGGAAAAGGAGTGAAGCTAGGGCACGTGCAGTAAGGCACAGAAGAGTGATTTGAGAAATGCAGAAGGCTTTGTTGTCTCAATCCTTTGGCATCTGATTCCTTGGCAGAAAACTGGCAGCCACTGCTACAGGTACTGCACGTTGTAAGGCGGCGGGTTCTTGGTCTGACTTGGGTTAGAAATCGCTGCTTCAGCTGATTCTTTTTGTGGGTTCTCCTCTTATCACAAAGTTAATTCACACTTTCAAGGTTCATTAAAGAATATCTAGAATAGTTACTCTGAGTTTAATATTGTCTTAAAAGTATCTCAGCCTCACTGTAAAGCTTTTGCAAAAACAAAAACAAACCATGAAATAAACCCAAAACAGCCTCATTATTTTCATATAATCCTGGATAATTTTAACTTTTCCTGAAAGCCAATCATAATGCTTATGTTCTGTGCCCTACTTTTCTCCTGGTGTTCAAGAAAAACAACTGTGACATAATGATCTTTCTTTAGCTATCCTGGTTCTGCTCTTACATCTGTGCTTGATTATGTCCACAGTTTTACTCAGGAAGTTAACTAAGAAGATCAGTAAGAAGCTGCAGGGACAAACACATCCTTGCTTAGCTTTCCCAACCTGCAGTGAGTTCAAATGGGAAACACCTTTCATTGCATAATTTTAATTCCCAGAGCTTCAGATCCAAAAGTAGAGTGGTTTAGTTTTTACTTGATTTGGAAGCCTTGTGTTATTTTCTATCTTGGATGATATTAAAAAAAAAAAAAAGCTTAGTTTAGCTGAGAAATTTGCTGCTAAAGTATGTGATAAACAGAAACTTCAGCATGTCAGGCAGATTTTGTGCAAGGTTTCTGAATACCCTATTCTTGATGGAGGGTGAGAGTTTGTACAGAAGGATGCGTTCTCTACTAGAGAAACAACAAAATCTCTGAAGGCTTACATTAAAAGCTTGCTGGCTTTTTATTTACTGACTGAAATACTTTTCATAATGTTGTTAGTAACACATCATGTACGTGGGAGGGATTTTAAGCATATCTGCTGTCTATTCCTTATCCTTGTCCTTGCGAAGGGCTGGGCTGAGCCATAAGTGGAAACCAGGGAAAATGATGTTCTGGGGCTTTTGCACATGTATGCATGTTTGTTGTGGAGGTGGTGCTTTGTTTTCTTGTAATGGCTCTGCATCTTGACTAGGTAAACAATGAACAAAGACCTTTGAAAAAATATTAGTGTTTATTTGGCTGCTGAAATCTGGTGTAGCCAACTCTTCAGAGCTCCTCAAATCTCTTTTATGCTTTCCTCTAATTTAAAAATTCTGAGGCTGTTCCTACTACTGAGAGCTGCTCTTTGTATTAGGTATGATGCTTCTAATTTCTTGTTTGTGTTGTGACCTGCTTAAGGAGATTAAATGATGCAGGATAATTGATTTCTCATCTGAGAGTCAGACTGAAAGCATTAAATCAATTCTGTCCTCTTACATTTTGTTGCCATTGAAATTTCTTTAAAGGAGCTGATGTTTCTTCTTTCCCAGACTAATAAACTACGTAATACCCATTTCTTTTGCACATGTGGCTTGCTGCCTCTCTGGAAGTAAACAGCTCGGCTTAGCTCTGGTATTTCTAATCTGCTGGGCTATGATTTCAGAGAACAGGTTTTCATTCCGTAAATGCAAAGCAGAATGCATTAGTGACTCTGTGCCCAACTCTGGGTATGGAATCCATATAGTTATACCTAGCAGACTAACAGTAGCTTAAAGAAAATCCTGACTTTCTGGATTACTCTTAGCAGCTTTGAAAATACTGTTTTGTGCTCCTTCCTTTTAACAGAAGGATGCAAATGCAAATTGTTACTATTATTCCAGCCCTTAGCTGGAATCCCATCTTGTCCTCATTGCTATTGTCACTAGTTGGGTTAAAATCTGGGAAACAGAAACAGCCAGTGTTAATTTGTTGGCAAGTTCCTCCTATAGCAGGGCTTTACAGCCTCAAGCTGCCATTCACAAAGCAGTGGGGCACTGTGAAAGCAGCCATAACCTCTGCACCTTGCCTTTTCAGTAGGCAGCTGTGGGAGAGCAGTACAGAGGCAATAATGTCTCTAGATAACTAACTGAAGTGCTGTCAGCCAGGTCAGTGCTGTCACACTGCAGCCCTAGGGTGTAAAGCTAAGCACAAGCCTGGGGAAAATACCCCTGGCAATGGGGGGAAATAGAAGAGAAAATAGAAAGGCAGGGGGACAGCTTGTTGTACCAGCCCCCTTTTCTTGTCTGATAACTTCAGCCAAGGAAGCTTAAACACTTTTAGGTAACTGATTGCTGACGTTTCTTTGTTAAAATAAGTACATAGCATGCAACCAGTGTGAAATAGCAGAATTTGAACTGTGTACTATCTTCCCCACCACCTCTGCCATTTTCCAGACATACATTCTGGATGAATGTATGTAGATGTATGTAATGTAAAGTCCTATGGGCTCTTTTATGAGTGAGAAATTCTGACTTGGGAATATTTGTCCAAAACTTAAACCCCCTGATGTGCAGAATAATAACAAAGGCTGCAAAAAAAAATGTGCATAGATGGGATGTGCCACTGTTCAGTGTCCCAGCTTATGATGTGTATGGAGTGGTGAAAAGTGGTTGCTGACACGTTTGACTTGTAAGTGTACTTGGCAGACCTGTTGCTGTGGTAACTAATCAGAAGGCTAACCTCCTCCAAATGAGTGCTGTTTGCCTTGCACCAGATGGCTCATACATCACTTAGTGGCATTTTCTGTCCCTTTCATTACTGTTCAATCTTTTCTCTAAGTGCTGTGATTTAATTTGCAGCAATTTAGACACAAATTATTCAGATATGTGACATGCTAAAATACAATACAAAGCTGCTTGGGTGGATGCAACCAAAGATCTACTATTTCAATAATGATATATATAGAGCACATGGTTACCATAGCATATTTCTTGCAGATAAAGTGAGACCATTTTTTCAATTCGTTGCTCTGCTACAAGCAGTTCTGCACGGGCAGCATGCTAGCAATGAGAATATGGATGAAGGCTAAGGATAATTTCATTAAAAATTCTGGATTTGTATTTTCTGATCTTTATCTGTTGGGTTTTTTATTGTTTTTTGTTTTTATTACTAGCTTATTTTCTCAGAATGACAGATCTATTTCTTTCACCTACTTTGACTATTTATTATTGTGAGCTACTGTCAAGAGATTCAGCCTAATTGTTACAGATTCTGTTACAACTCACCTATAAAGCCATAGACCTAGAGTTTTTTCTTAAGTCAGTAATAATAAATGTCTCATGATAACTTTAGAATTATGAAAATAAGTATGCTGTCACAGATCATTACACATCATCAATGTTCTAGTTTTCCTGTTTTAAAAATCAAGTGATAGACAATGCTTTTTTTGGTAAATGCAATCATCACTCCAGGGAAAGGCAACCTTCTTGAATGGGTGTTTAGTTGTGTAGTTCAGTGCTGAGTCTGACAGGTCTCTAGACATCAAGCACGCCCTGAATCCTTGTGGTGTGCTGGCTTCTTCTGTCCCTGTGACTCTGGTTAGCAGTTGTGCTTTGTTGTGTCACTTCTACAATGGAGAAATGAATTACTTTCTGTGTGCATGAGTAAGAACTGGGCATCTAAGCATACCATTGTGCCTGCGATGGCATCTTATGTACAGCTGCAGCCATTTACATAGCTTAATCTTCAATGGTTTAATTGGATAAAGGGGGTGCACCCAGGATTTCTCCTATCTTTGTAATTCAAACAATCACTGAGCCCAGCAGATGTGATCTCTGTGTGTCAGAATATTGCACCTGCTGCACTCTGCCTTTGTTATGGACAAAACTCCCAGAGTGTGCGAAAGTACTCTCAACTATCTGCACCAATCTCCTGACTATAAAAAAGGAACCAACACCGAAGTATCATTGATGATTTCTGCTCTTTTGATTTATGACATCACAGCTCATCTGAATTTACTGGCCTATGATATGACTATTATCCTAGGGGCTTCAGGGGTTTTTCAATGTTGCACAGAGTTAGCTCTTCTGTACTTGGGATTTTTGCTTCTGTAACTCACTGCAAATGGAGTCCATTAAGTTTAGTAGAATGCCTTTATAGCTACAGGTTTAGAATTCTGACTTAGCAGCAGGCAGCTAATTTTTCTCTGTACAACACTAACTCATCTGCTCCACCAGAGAGGACAAGGCTAAGATAGTTGCTTGAAATATCAGAAAAGCATACCAACAAAAGAGATTTACTGGCTGAACTCACCTTTCACAAAAACATATATGATTTAAAAACCTAAGTGGTCTTTTTTGTTGTCTGAATTAAGCTAATTTGTTTCCAGTCATTTAATTGACTGTATGCCTGCCTGCATGTCTGCTCTCTTAGATTTCCAGAGGAAAATAGTTTGGAAAGGAGGAATCAAATTTATTAGTACTAAGGATGCTGGATACTAGTTCTGCTGAATAGGCTTTGATCTCCAACTGAGGAGGTGTTGAAAGGACAAACACCCAGTGACTTAAACTGTGTGTTGCTCTGGTTGATTAGTTTTTCCACACATTAAAAAAAAAAATAAATAAAAACAAGCAGAACAAGGGTTCTTTAAATTTCTGTTCTGTGAAGATGTGTCCTTCTTCTGTTCCTTCAATGTTGCATTTTTTTACATATCCATAAATTCTGATGTCATTATATTAAATGTGATAAACAAATAATAGATGAACATCGTGGTTTTGTCCTAACCATAATAGTTTTGTATTTTTTGTTTATGCAACAATCTCCATTCAGAGGTTTCAAAGATGCAGCTGTAACTGAGAGCTCTCTCCATTTCATTTTCTCCATCTCATTTATAAGGCAATTTAATTGCCGTGAGGTTAACAAGCAGTAGGCTTATGGCAGAACAGCTCCCCTGATGGCTGGGACTGTGCTCTAACCACTCGTCTGTGCTGCTTTACACAGGTCGTGACAGCTTACACAGAAAAGAAGCATCAAGGATTTCTATGTAGCCAGTGTTCAGTCATTCAGTAGACAGTAATAATTCTTAGGTAGATTATACTTAGCCATAATCATCTCTAGAGTAATTAGGAGAACAGACTTAGTCATGTAAGTGAGCATAATAGGGCAATGTAAGTAGTGTG